TACGACATAACCCTGCCGGCTCCAAAACAGCAGGGATGTTTGCGGTGCTCATGGCCTTATGAATAATAATAATTATTAACAGATTGTTAAAAAGTGAATCAAGCTTTTAATTAGCCGTTTAACATTGTAGCGAATTCCTTGATAGGTTTTTATACCATTTTTAAATTTTATAATAATATTCTGTGACATATTCTTCATTGTTACTTTTCTATTATATATCGCTGTCATACTAGTCGCGTTTTATTTAATCTCCGTATTTTCCTTATTAAAACCCTCAGCACCTCTCACTCATCAGACTCATTTGATACCTCCGCTTCAAACATGTTTCTGAGGAAATTGCGTAGAGGTCGTCCTAACGTGGACGATTTTAAAAAGAAGATGTTAGGAGTGTAGCGCGGTGTTTTTTTTTATGGATGATAATGAATCGTGCACCCGCCTGCACTAACACTCCTCACCACTGTAGCGTTATATATGTAGTGATGTGATGAGGTGTCGCTACTTAATATATTATTTATTGTAGTATGTAGGTAGTGAGTATACCGGTAAATAATTGTACTATTTATTAAGTTTAGTATTTATTGGTATTGGTAATGTGCTACAATATTTATTAGAGACGCGAGTACTCAACGCGGAGTCGTAAAGCGGACTGTTACACTAACTTAAATCTATGTTTGTGGAGACGTAAACAAATGGAAGAGTTTCAACTGTTGACCGAAATATTACAAGTGTAGGTACAGGAGTAAGGATTATTAGTAAAGAGAACTAGGTGCCAAATTCGTACATTATGGTGGTATGGTGCTAGCAATACTATGGTAACAATAGTATGGTGGTACCACACGCTTTGCCTGGAAAAAATCGTGAAGAATTCCTAACTGAATTTGGTACAATGGGTCAGTTCAGTTAAACTAAGTTCATACTCATGCTATCATCCTCCATTAAAGCAGGCTGGTTTCATCCAATTCAAAAGTATACTTATATAATATGAGGAGTGTGTCCACGCAATAAAATTACGATTCTATCTCTATTTAGAGACCTTGCATCACCCCTCATCCAAGCGGGATAGCAACTTTTCAATCGAAAATTAACCATAAAGATTTACGTTCCGCTCTACACGCCTTACTATATTATTACAGTAAATATAAAACATTTTTTTCTTAAATTCTGGAAATTCATTATGATTCCAATGTCTTGCATATTTTTTTAATTTTTATACTGTCTTGGATTGTTAATACGAATGAGTTGGAAATTGTTTCGTATGAATAATCCAAGGTTGTTTTTTTAGTGAAGATAGAGTTTTTCAGTAATGTGTAATTCTAAAGGTAACTTGTTTAATGGAAATCTGACCAGTAAGAAATCTTGATATTAGAGAAAATTTCATTGAGTTTAATTAATTATTGTAGAATAGTTTTATAGCACCACGTTTTGTATAGAGAGAGGTAGAGGACCTTAAGGGTAATGTTGCCTTCATAGTAACAAGTGATTTATGTGCCCTACATTTAGTAGTTATGTCCAACAATGTAGGATATCTTGTTGTTCTTGATAACTGACAATCTGTATAATAAAACTAAGGGCACGTATACTATATTAATCATAGTATTAAAGGAAATCACGTTGCGGAAATAAACTTCATCTATATTTATCTATCACACCAGAACTATGTTTATAACAATTTATATTTGAATCATTAATGGCAGGGTTGTTTTATGTATTAGGGTTTATTTATACCACAAGAGACAAACGAGCTTGCGGCTCACCTGATGGTAAGTGATTACCGCCGCCCATGAGCACCCGCAACACCAGAGAAATTGCAAGTGCGTTGTGGGCTTTTAAAAAGGAATAAACTCTTTTCTTGAAGGTTTCAATATCGTATTGGTTTGGAAATACCATTGCTAGAAGGTGATTCCACAATGTGGTTGTGCGTGGCAAAAAAATTCTAGAAAACCGCACTATAGAGGACCGCTATTGATTTAGATGATCAGGATGGTATCTTGGTTTCTAGCGCGTGGTACGGTGATGAAAAAAGGGTCCGGAAGGTGGCGTGCATGGTCTTGGAGACTTCATATGCGATCACATCGCTACGGCAATATACTTGAGGAGGAATAGTCATCAGGTTTTTGGCTGGTAAGAATCCGGCAGTCCCCATTTGGCCCCTAAGCCGGTGGACCTCTATGAATATTTTCCTGACGTTAAAATAAGCTTGTGTTATGTTTTATATATGTATAGTCCGTGAGCCAAAATCTTTTTTCGTCAATTATTATTTCCCGGTGGAAAACTTCTAAGACAGTTAAGAAATATGTGTTTTGAAGCTTAGGGAAAATAGTTAAGAAGTAGCACCCTCGCAAATATGTATTTAAAAAAAAACAACTTCGAATGGCAAACATGCTGACGTTCCACCTGATGGTAAGTGGTAACTGTCGCCTATATACCACCATGATACTACTCATACGTTCATTCTATCTTGCACCATCCACCACCTTCTGTCTTTTCTCCTCTACCCAAAGGTTGTCTGGAAGAAATCGCTTTAGCGATAAGACCGCCTTTTGTGCCTAGCCTACCTTTCTGTACATTATGAATATAGTTTTTTTTTTGTATTGTTTTTAAGGTGCAATAAAGAGTTATAAATAAAAAAATAAATAAAAAATACCTTGCAAGGATAGGAGGCGATTATTAGTCATGGGGACTAAGACCCATTGCTATATACCATGTCAGGTCGACCTCCACGCTCTCCTTGAAACCACCGTGGTTAATTCCAAGTTATTTCATCACGATGCCTTAACTGACATGACCTCATGCTCATCTTATCATCTACTGGTCCTTGCCAGCGTACACCGTTAGCGCAGGCGGATGACATGACCTCATGCTCAACCTATCATCCTCCACTGGTGCCAGTGTACACCATTAATGCAGGCGAGTACATCATTCTATTAACATCCATTAAAAAAAAATTGAATAAATGGAAGACAATTATAGTTATAAAAACCGTTATGTTGAATTAAAGATTTTTCAGCTTAATAAAGATTAATAAGTAATCTGGGTACCTTGCTTTTAATCCAAAAATATATATATTCATATAATATATTGAGCAATAAAGGACTTAATGCTTATTAACTTGTGAATTAAATTTATAGTGTCTATATGGGTTTATATGTACTACCATACCTATTAAACATATAATAATAATAATAAACTCACAGCGCCATCTAGACCCAAGTTAAGCTAGCTAAACTTGTGTTATGGGTACTAGATAACTGATATAAATACAAAGATATTTTTTCGTAATTACATAGAAAACACCCAGAGCGATACAAACAATTATACTCATGAATACAAATGTTTGTGCTGTGTGAGGATTCGAACCGGCGACCATCGGAAGTATGGCGGTGTGCTAAACCGCTAGACCACCGAGGCCGTCAAGTAATGTGGATGTGCTAGAATTGTTTTTAGCTATAAATTATGTGTATTTGTTCAAATGTTTGAAGACTACAAATAATTTTCTAATTGGTGTGTTATAACAACTGTTTAATTCTCTGGTTTATGAATTAAATTTTTAATTTATTTGTACTTAGGATGTACTATTTGGTAGTATGTATTCACATATATCACATACAAATCAAATAAATTCAAAATATCTTTATTCATGTCTATTACAGACTATATGTCAAAGCTACCGTCAGTTCGGAATGATTTCGAGAGGAGAAGAACTGACAAGAAACTCAGCTCGTATTCTTCTCAAATATGGTTGTGCATGTTTACAATAAAAATAATAATTTTAAATACAAATGAATAAAAATAGAATATCAGATTGTAATTTCTAAGGTTTTCACTATATGTAAGTGTATAAAAAAAAATTTAAAATATTTTTGTCTGTCTGTTTCCTCTTGCTATAACTCTGAAATGATTGGATCGATTTTTGACGGGACTTTCCTCGCAGATGGCTAATGTCATAAGGAATAACTTTAACTACTTTTATTTATGGTATTTTGTTTATTTTAATAAAAAAGAATTACTTTTGTAATAACAATGAATTTGAATAACAATGTAAAGTTGTACAATATTTGTTTAAAATTGCAACAGGCAAAGATTTTACTCATTCCTCTTAATTGAAACAACAAATCAAAAGTGTTAGATTAAAAATTTCAGACAGATCATAAATATTTTTTATTGGATATCCATAAATAGTAACGGTTGGAATTTGATCACCAATAGAGAATGAAACCTATCCTTAATAAGTAAGTTTCCACACTGAATATTTGTGGTCTCACACATGCAAATTGTAGCGGAATTATACAAAATAATATAAACCTAATTAGTAATGAAATTAACTTTTGCAAATTAATAGCTAATTCGATAAAATAAAATAAATAAGACAGGTACTTTATACAAAGTGGTAGACTTTGTGTAAAATGATCCCGATTATTTCTATATATAAAAAAAAAAATATATATATGTATATTTTTTTTTATATCTCAATATTACTTATTAAATAGCACCGTTTTACTATTTCTGATCAAGGCGACGGTTGACTAGTAGAGTACCATCAGGCATTAAGTCCGCCATACTATTTAGTGTGCAAAAGAACCTTACTAATAGTATAAACGCGAAAGTTTGTGAATATGGATGGATGTTTGTTACTCTCTCACGCAAAAACTACGGAACGGATTTTGATGCAACTTTACACTAATATAGCTTATATATTAGAATAACATATAGGCTATAAATTTCATGCCGATGAAACCGCGGGCAGAGATCGTAAATAAATAAATAAATATCTGTGATAACATCACATCATGTAATACGAAGCTAACTGTACTTTGTAGTATCAATGATAAATAATAAGAATTAAGTATATATTACTACATCTGTGGAAACAGCGAGGAAAATACTCTAGAGTGTAAATTTTATGATGCCGTAATAACAGCGTTATCTGCGTATGAATTTTGTAAATATATCTAATAATAAATATACAGTTTATTGAGAGAGACGTAAAGTACGCGATGACAATGGGAAGAGATGCAGAAATTCGGTCTCGTGGTCACAGTGAAGTGATGGAAACCAAATCATATGGATACGACGAGGCTGTTGAGTTAACCGGTAAATTATAATGATAAATTTTAACTTTCTCAATTATAACATCTTCTCATTCTGCAATATCTTCTACACTTGGCTAAGCCTATGTCGATGAGTGTAATCTTCTTTTAAACCACATAAAACGAGAGAAAAATCAGAAATTATATTAATAAGACCAAAGTCGTGAAAATGTAGCAAATTAAAATTTTGAGAATATAAAATGAATAAATATAATAATCACATTCATCGTAACCATGTATTTTTTAATTTATACACATTAAAGCCCACATGTTTGATATTATTATCTCAGTAAAAAGGGAGACATTTTATAAATAATAATAATTTAAAAAATTCACATTATCATTGATTCCTACACGGGGCTGGCCTGCAGGAATCAGAATATATAATATATTACTAATTCATCTACGACTACTATATGAGTATGGATAGATAGACGGATATTTGTTACTCTTTCACGCAAAAACTACTAAAGGTATTTTGATAAAACTTTACAGTAACATAGCTTATACATTCGAATAATATTGGTTATAAATTTCATGCGGGTAAAACCGAGGGTACAGCTAGTAGGTCTATATTTGCACAACGTACGGACAATTTGAATTTTTTTTTAATGTACATTAATGAAATGATTCATCTGACTGCACTAACGGCAGTGAAGGATGATACGATGAATGAGGTCGGCCCATCGTGAGAAATTTGCAAGGAATTTATCGTGTTAGTTTCCAGATCCGCGACTCCCCATGGAGGAAAACCTAGCATGGTACTTTATTAGTAATGGTGTCAACAGTCCACATAACTAAGAATCCCCTTCCCCCCATAATTTGATAATTACCCCATAAATGTGAAATATTAAAGTAAAGAATGTTAACAGTGTAAATGGTTAGAAAATATTTCATTTAGATAAGTGTATTACAACATGTATGTAATATATGTAGTTTACCTTCGGCCTTCGAATGAATTACGGCATTTTTAATTTTATTGTTTCTTTATGTATCTCTATGCGATATATTTGAGAATTGTATATTTTATTTATTTATTTCAGGCGACCAAACGTTCGTATTACTATAAATGTTTATATATGAATTAATATTACAATACTAATATAATATCGCGGTCGCTAATTGAGGGCCTCGTGAATAAGCTCAGAGTCACTTAGAGGGCGATGGAGAGAGCTATGCTAGGCGTGATCGAATCAGAAATGAGGAGATCCGCAGAAGAACCAGAGTAACCGACATAGCCCGAAGATTGCGAAACTGAAGTGGCAATGGGCAGGGCACATAGCTCGTAGCATAGATGGCAGTTGGAGCTATAAAGTCCTCGAATGGGGACCGCGGACCGGAAAACGCAGCGTGGGAAGGCCTCCATCAAGGTGGACCGACGATCTGGTCAAGATCGCTGGAAGGCGATGGATGCGAGCAACGCAGGACCGATCACCTTGGAGATCTTTGGGGGAGGCCTTTATTCAGCAGTGGATATCTTCTGGGCTGAGATGATGATGGTGATGATTATGGCACTGACAACGGTAATTTGCCAGTCGCCACTAATATGCTGACCACCTTCGTGAAAGATAACAACTGGCAAAGGGGGTGGTGAATCGGTGCTTTAGCACCGATCCCACAAACGCCTTAAAAGTCACGTTGTGAACGTGTTACTAGACTCCAGCTGCGTCGCAGACCTCTGCACTTTATTATTTCTTAATTTCTTTAATTTGTGTTATACTATATTGTCTGATAGATTTTAGTATGCATTTAGGTATTTCATAATAACTTTTTGGTACTATAATATATACTGCCATGCGTAAATTTATGATAGTAATAATAATAATAATGTATTTATTGACACCAATTTACGTAGTTACAGTTATTCTTATAAACTATTACATTTTTGTTAAATGTGCATTATGCAGAGAATTTCCTAGTATCTATATTAGGCCGAGCCTGTATCATAGATACTATTTTTTTCCAGCGACAAATAGGCAATAATTAAATTTTTGCAATTGCGTGGGTAGTAATCATTTACATAGGACATTTAGGTACAATTACGTGGCTTTTTATTCGTGAAAGAATTTTATAAATCAATTCAGTAGGTGCAGGGATTACCCTCTACAACTTCACAAACCTTTAAATCTCCATCATCACCCATTCATAAGCTGCAGTAACTATTTACCAACAGATGGGCCGTATGCTTGTTTGCCATCATCGTAGTATAAAAAAAAACTACCCGCAAGAAACTAAAATACCATCTTGATCATATGTATGAATGGCGGTTCTCCACCGTGCGTTCTTCCAGAATCTTTTTCTACGGACAACTACATTGTGGAACCTTCCATCAATTTCGAATTTGAAATTGTAATCTTCAGAAAAAGAGTATATCTATTCGTTCTTACAAGGCCGACACCGTACTTGCAATTTCTCTAGTCCATTCATCCACCACCTACCACTTTCTGTTTACTCTCCTCAACCCAAAGTTTGTTTAGAAGAGATTGCTATGCGGTAAGATCGTCTTTTGTACCCTATTACTTCTAATTTATTCTTTGTAATTTACTTCTGGTGCAATGAAGAGTCCATAAGCTATACGTCACATACTTTATTACCTCTTCACAATATTAGCAAAAAATTTAAGATCATATTTGTATTTCAGGTCACGGTTGGTACAACTTGTACGCGCTGACGACTTGTTGCGTGATCATCCATGGCGTATCATTGGACATGTTCGGCTTCAGCTTAGTAGTGGCAGCCTCCAAATGTGATCTGCAACTGAACCTGACAGAAATTGGTCTACTAGCGTCTGCTCCGTTTGCTGGTAATTAATAACCTTTATATACCTCTATAGCTGTCTATAAACATGCTCATTTACGCGGGATATAATGTGCATGTACTCGTAAATGTGGACAAAGAGAACGAGAAATACCGCGCGAGCAAATAGTGACCGAAATCCCGCGTTCTTCAATCGTAAGTGTTTCAGCGCCTTTTTTTAATAATTAATTATCATTGCAAAATGGCGGACATCCGACTATGGAGCAAAGACATAATTATAGAGTTATTGGTAGTAAACCTTTAGAGGGTGACATTTTTTTTTAATTTCATTACCATCAATAAAAAAAAACATATTACGGCGGCTCCCGTGGTTTCTCAAAATAATTTGTGTTATTATCGATCTTTTCATCACAATAATAATCTAAATATGTATATATAACTCAAAGGTGACTGACATAGTGATCTATCAACGCACAGCCCAAACCACTGGACGGATCGGGCTGAAATTTGGCATGCAGGTAGATGTTAGGACGTAGGCATCCGCTAAGAAAGTATTTTGATAAATTCCACCCCTAAGGGGATAAAATAGGAGATGAAAGTATGTATAAACATTCTTACATTTTGTAGGCCCTAATTTTTTACACACGCTAAACAAAAGTAAAGCCACAAAAACTACACCTAATTAATAATAATACTTACTACTACGCGAGCGAAGCCGCGGGCAAAAGCTAGTATATTATAAATACACAATCTTTTTCAATATCGTTTGTTTCGAACTGAAGGTTCGAAGTTCGTTAGTCGGGAATTGTGGTAATAAATTACGAATAAAAACATCTCGTAGTCGTAATTTGGTCGCCAAACAGTCAATACTAGGCTTCCAAGCTATCCGAACTCTACTCAATGCCTGACGATGCCTCGTTTACAGAAATCCACGTGTCGCAATATGGGTGTAGATGCCATAACGGTTGGAATTTGATCACTAGTGGGAAAGGTCGCAACACTTCCGGTAGCGGTGGTCAGGTTTCCGCACTAAATATATGTGGTCTCTCAGCGGAATTACAGAAAATAATATACATCTATTCACTTAATTGATTTATACTATTTTCTGTAATTCCGTTCAAACTAAGAGGTAATTTACGGAAGTTCATATTATTACTTATGACATGGATTTCCGCAAATTAGCTCTTCATTCGAATAAATTTAAATAACCTTTTATTTCTTTTTCAGTTTATCTTTCCTATTTATTACAGTAGATTGTGTGGGACTGTGTATAGGACGCTGGGGTGGGTGCAGCCAACGATGGTGGTAATTAAAGATGCAATATGTAAAAGTAATAGTATATTATAAAAATATATGTCGTAACAAACTATATGAAAGCAAGAGCAATAGAAGGAATAACAAAACTATAGCAAACTATATAAAATATAAATATTTAAAAATAAGAAATTGTCGTACCAGCCAGCGGCCCTAATGTAAGGAGTCCTGTACAGTAGATAGTAACATAAATCTATTTTATCTACATATTGTTTTATATTTAAATAAGTAGCTATGACGAGGTCGAGTGGAATGAGTAGTCATGCTCACTAAAATGTCCAGACATGTGGCGGCGTGGTGGGCCGGGTCATTGGTCTCCCTAAAATATGGTCGAGCGCATTGATGGCTGGCTCATCCGTCACATTCGTGAAGCTGCTTGTAGGGACCGGTCTGCTCTTATCACTACGACTGATGTAATCTTATTGTGTTTTTATACTTGAGCCTAAATGAATTAGTGCTGATTGTTTGTATTCACACGTTTCGACTTGTAAAATATGAACTTACAAGGATTGTTTAAAAGAGCAACACACAAGTTTCTTGCTTATTCTTCTTGTGATGAGACAGCTGTCCGAATAAGCGGCAGATTTAAAAAAAAAATGTTGACTATTCAAAAGTGCTTAAAATTAAGTTTATTTGAATAAATTATTTTCTATTCTATTCTATTTTTTTATAAATTTTACAACAGTTGTATGGCGTTGTATGAGAAGCTTCTTATATCATGACTACAGATATAAGAAACTATATTTAATCCACAGATTGTGTCTAAATTTAGTTAACGGATTCATCTTTCTCGTGTATTATCAATTGTAGTATCAATCAATCAATCAAAATATCTTTATTCATATAGACGTATTATCTCTTACAGTCTCTTGATAAGTTAAATTTACCGCCAGTATAAAATGTATATAGTTTTAGAATTAATTTTAATTTCAGAAAAATGATTGAAAAATAGCAATTACTAAAAAAAATTTTAATTTATACTACGTAGGTGGCAAATATGCATAAGGCCCACCTGATGATAAACGGTTATCGTAGCCTATGGACGCCTGAAGCACCAGGGGTATCACGTGCGCGTCGCCGACCATCTGTTGTATAATATATCGTCGATTAAATAGAAAAATGACTTTAAAATAGCATCTAATTTAGGAAATAAATTGCCTCCTTTTATATATATAGTTAATTGAATAAATCACGCCGTCTTAATCATTATGATTAAGAGGACGTGATTAATTTACTTGTTAAACTAAATAATTTACTTCTGTGTAAAATTAAAACATTAAAGGAAAAAAGAATTTAAAGAAATTTAAAAACTTTAAATGCAAGTCTTGTTAAACTGTACAATTTGAATACTGCCATTTTTCTATTTAACCGACGATATTTAGTTACTTCTTCGGCATCACACTTACATGACATGTATCATTATATTTCGCCCAATTTACATAATATCTTTTTAAATTATAGCCTATGGGTTATTATAATATATAAGCTATGTTACTGTACAGTTTCATCAAAATCTGATTAATAGTTTTCGCGTGAAAGAGTAACAAACATCCATCCAGACTCACAAACCTTCGCGTTTATAATATTAGTAACATATTTGACGACCTCGGTGGTCTAGCGGTCTAGCATACCGCTTTACGACCGATAGTCGCGGGTTCGATTCCTCGCACGGCACAAACATTTGTATTCATGAGTATGATTGTTTGTATCGGTCTGGGTATTTTCTATGTATAATATGTATGTATTTAGGAAAAAAAAAATTATTTATGTATTTGTATCAGTTGTCTAGGACCCATAACACAAGCTTTAGCTAGCTTAACTTGGGTCTAGATGGCGCTGTGTGAATTTTCCTGAGATTATTATTATTATTATTATTATATTTATACAGTACCTAAGTTTAGTGATAACGTGATCATACAAACATATATTAAATTAATTTACCTAAAGTACGACCGGGTCGTTGAGAACAGTAGATTTTTATATAAAACTGTGTATTTACTATTTTATAGAGTATGATTGTTTGTATTGATCTGGTGTTTTCTATGTTGTTTATTTATGTATTTAGAAAAAAATATACCTAAGTATTTATATCAGTTGTCCATCCATAACACAAGCTCTGCTTACCATGGAACTAGATGGCGTTGTGTTAATGGTCCAGGGTTATTTATTTATTTATTGTTATTTATTTTAAGCATAACATATATTTGATTGATTGTAGATATACATTATTTTAAAGTTGTAGTTATCATAACGAGACACATTCGGACAATTAATTTTTGACCTAATTCTTTAGTAGCAATAAAACTCAAAACTTATTAAAAAAATCATACGTAATTTTGGGAGATATTCAATTTTTAACCTAATTCTTTAGTAGCAATAAAACTAAAAACTTATTAAAAAACATACATAACATTGATTTAAGTGACAATATTTCTGTTTTAATTACATTGTAATTTTATTCTCCTATCTTCTAAAGTCACACATACTACAACATTTACACTATTCATCTACATACAATACACTCATACAAAAATACAAACAAGGCATTTTTATATCTACTCATAATTTTCCTCATTACATTTGTTTGCGCCCCTCGTCATATAAGTATTAGATAATTAATATTTATTTTTAAAACACAAACATAGTTTCTAAATCCATGCAAATGTGAACGTAGACACAATTATCCTGTATTATTAACTTCTACTATTACTTGCCTATATTATTTATCGTAGTCATACAATTTTGTATGAGATTTAGACACGTATATGTATATAGTAATACGTGGAACAAAAACTCTGTAGCCCTTTTTATGAAAATTGGACGGACGGAGAAGTATGAGATTTTGTAAACTTACAGTTAAAAAAGTTTTATTCTAAAGAAATTGTGTCTGTATGGGCAGTATGGGCACGGTTCTTTTGCTTTATTGCACCAAAAAAATGTTAAGGACTTATATGACTTATAGTTTATATAGAGAAGGAGTAGTTCTTTATAGTATAAAACAAAGTCGCTGTTGCTGAGGGACATCAAACATAATTTACGACTATTACTTGTAATTTATTCTCAAACTTGCTGAATATACACACAAAATTTCACAAGCATCAGTCAATAAATAAACATTTCTTTTGGACCACACTTAGAGGTTTACAAAATATTTTCATAACTACCCACCGAGTATACATATAAAATTTTATCAAAATCAGACTAACAGTTTCGGAGAAGTATGACAACTAGCTGACTACTGACTTTTATATACAAACTAGCTTTTGCCCGCGGCTCGCTCGCGTTAATTTATCCCCTTAGGGGTGGAATTTATCAATATCCTTTCTATGGGGATGCCTACGTCATAGTAGCTTTATGCATGCAAAATTTTTCTGATCGGTTTAAAATTGACAAAGTTTCATACAAACTTTCATCCCGTAATTTATCCCCTTGGGGGTAGAATTAATCAAAACCCTTTCTTAGCGGATGCCTACGTCATAACATCTACCTGCATGCCAAATTTTAGCCCGATCCGTCCAGTGGTTTGGGCTGTGCGTTGATAGATCACTATGTCAGTCACCTTTGAGTTATATATATTTAGATATAGAAGATACCTATATACAAATATAGAAGATAAAGGTATTTCGTTTACTTTATTCTTTCTTCTTCTTATTTTACCTTTCTCGACGTTTCGACTAGATTACACTAGCCGTTGTCATGAGCTGACTGGCTGCTTATTTTATATTAATTACTTGAAGTTTTATAAAATGACTTTCAGGAATAGTATTCGCATTTCCATGGGGCTACTACTCAGACACTCGCGGCAGGAAGCGGGCGCTGATGGTGTCTGCTATCGGTGGCTTCGTACTGTCTGCACTCAGCAGCTTCTCACCTTCCTGGCAAGTTATGCTGGTGTTGAAGATATTTGGATGCAGTTTGTAAGTCTTTTCGTGCTATCTATATTTTTTTGTCTACCAACATAGGCGGAAATTAAGGATATGTTTTAAGTAAGGTATAATAAAACCTGTATATGTTACGAAATATCTAATAAAGGCGTTTTATTAAAAGCCAGTTTTGGACCTTAAAATCTAAAATTTAAGTATAAATTAACACATCAAGTAGTTCTATGTAATCCTGATTCGATGTCGGATCTTTGAGTGAACTCTTCGCTGTCACTACACCGAACACTAAAACAGAACGCGGGGTAAAACAGAATCCCAAAGGGGTGCGGACACTGTTGGATTCTTACCCACCAAAACTCTTCGGTGTTTCTCCGAAACCACGATTAGTCACCGTAGTGCGGTTGCGCTTAGGCAAGTGCCCGCACTAGAGTGATACCTAGGGTACAATAGTGTCATCTGATCATCTAATCGTCATTCATTGGGTAGATGACTTTATTCATAATGTGGACCACTATCTTATTTGCTAGATATATACTCGGTATCAGATGGACCACGTAGTTCTCCTGAAATTGTAATATTTTTTTTATACTATGATGGTTGCAAACAAGTATACGATTCATCTGACGGTACATGGTTACCGTAGCCTATGGACGCCTGTAACACCACGTGTGCCACGTGTGTGTTGCCGACCCTTAGGAAAGCTTAATATTATGAGGTTTTTAAAGAAGGGTTTCTTGTTTCTTCTGTAGTTTATACCATATATATATGAGTGTACGCTGGAGAAAGCTCCTATGAAACTACACTGTCTGGGACCACATAAGTTCTAGCGTGTGGAGATGAATTAGCTTTTGACGAATTATCTTATACCTATAACTAACCTGACTTTATTCTGACATCCATCACTGATGCATCGCCAGCAAATTCTTTAGAAACTTAACCTTTTAACTTTGCTATACTAATGTTTTATTTATATTAAATTGCAGCTCATCGGCATCATACACATTGACCATGATATTTTTGGGCGAGAGTACCATCAACCAGCACAGGAGTCGCTATATGTTTATTTTGAATGCCTTCAATTTAGCAACGGAGTTAGTATCTTTTGGTATGTATTTACAAAAGTAATATATTTGGTTGACGTTATACATAGTCCCGTCAGAGATAAGAATTGAAGGATATTCTTAGTAGCAACAGTTTGATAGCCTTAGTAGTCTAGCGTATTAGCACACCGTCTTACTTCCAACGGGTTGTGTGTATGTATTGCATAAGTATGTATTTATTTACAAAAGAAAAATGTATTTATATCAGTTGTTTAGTACCCGTAAAATGAGCTCTGCTTAGCTTGGTACCAGATGGCGTTGTGTGAATTGTCCTGAGATATTATTTTAATTATCTGAGGTTAGAGTGTGAGTCTGCCTTCTAATGCCCATTTGGATGATTAAAATCTATTATTATAAATCATGTAGTTGGAATATTTTGTTTTTTTTTTCATAAACGTTTTCTTTAACTCTCATGCAGATCTGTGACCCTCCCACGGGACCTCAGGGCCCCATGTACAAGATGGTGCTGTTGTCCAGTGTTATTTAACTAAAATTTATTAATTTCAGCTCTGGCTTTCCTGATGTTACCATTGGATATTAGCATACCGATGCCCTGGTTAGGCATTGATTTTCGATCCTGGCGCCTTTTCACCTTAATCATGGCTGTTCCCCTTGGAATTGGAGCCATCATGCTCATATACCTCCAAGAAAGTCCCAAATATTTGGCCAATAATGGAGAGTTTGATGAAGCTCTGAGAGTACTCAAGATTATGCATAAAGCAAATACTGGGAATAAGACTGATTATCCGGTGAGTAAGTATTTTTGTGGATTATTTTACCACAGTGGTGGTAATCAAACGTAAGGCTTATTAGGTAAATGGTTACTGTAAACTACGGATGTATGAAACACAGGGAAGTTTTAAGCAACCCGCATGTTACACCCCTGGTATCTTAGGCGTCCATTGGCTATGGTAACCATTTATCATCAGATAGGATTCCTTCTTTCCTCGTTCCTGAGATTTGCGCATTCAACCATATAAACAAAGGAGATTGTAATGTAGACTCATAACCCTGCTATCTATCTACCATGCTAGGTAGACCTCGACGCGGTTCTATCTGGAAACCATCCTGAATTTATCACCATGCACTAACTGACCTGACCTCATGATCATGTTATCGTCCTCCACTGGTACCCCATCAGCACTGATTTTGCACCAGCCAGCGCAGGCGGGTGCACCATTCCATTATCATCTGTTAAAGAAAACAGACTTACTATTCTATATTACACTAGCTGTGCTCTCGGTTTCATTCGCGTAGAATTATCCTATATGTTATTCTGATGTATAAGCTATATTACTGTAAAATTTCATCAAAATCCGTTCAGTAGGAACGGATTTTGATGAAACTTTTGCGTGAAAGAGTAACAAACATCCATCCATATTCACAAACTTTCGCGTTTACAATATATGTATATATATATATATATATATTTTAAAGTTTATAATATTAATAAGATTGCATTCCAAAGCTAAGTTGTTTATGAATTTTGTACACAGGTTAAGCAGTTGTTTATAAAAGACGTACGAAACAATGACCGGTCGTTCTGGAGGTCTTTAGTGGAGCAGACAGTGCCTCTATTTAAACCTCCGCTCCTCTGCACCACCATATTCTTGTGCTACCTGATCGCTATATGCATGAGTTCGTAAGTATTATTAAGAGGCTTTTCCACAGTACTGGTCTGAAATGAAAGGAAATTTTATTTGCGTGTTTAGATACTAGTTAATATGATTTATTCACGACTAGCCGTTCCCGCGACTTCGTCCGCGTAGAATTAAACTTTATTTTTCTGAAATAAAAGTAGCCTACGTTACTCCTTATTACATCAGCTACCTGTCAAAAAAGTCCCGTCAGAATTGGTGCAGCCATTTCAGAGATTAGCCGGAACAAACAGACAGACAGACAAAAATTGTAAAAAATGTTATATTGGTGTGTACCGTATTTATATTCATGTGCACGTAGTAAAAAACGGTTATTTCAATATTACAAACAGACACTCCAATTTTATTTATATATATAGATGGAGAATTTTCAGTCTTTTCTATTATTCAAAAGATGATACTGAACATGTTTGTTAAATATATTTTTTTGTTAGATGTATTCACTATGGAAAATTTTCAGCCTTTTTGTTACTCATAAGATGTATGATTTTTAATATATTACTTTTTTAAAAAAAACCATATAGTTCTAAACAGTATTCTCTGTTCTTATTATTTTGTTACAGTAACAACGTATTCTTCATGTGGTACCCGACAATGGTGAATATGTTCTTCAACTCATTCTCCAATGACACTAACGATAGTTCCAGCTTTTGTGATAGAATCACTGGCGCCATTTTAACCTCTGATGTTGCAGTTGATGTGAGTAACTTACTGATTATTTTGCATCTATATTCTATATGTACATACTAGTTGTGCCCGCATTAAATTTCAAAAAAAAATATGGCCTATGTGTTATTCTGATGCATAAGCTATATTATTGTAAAGTTTCATCAAAATTCGTTCAGTCATTTTTGCTTGAAAGAGTAACAAATATCCATACGAACAAACTTTCGCATTTCTAATATCATTAAGATTAAGATATTAACTAATCAGAGACCACAGAGCACATCTCATAAAAAATATAACATTGTTTGTACACGAAGGTAATGTGTTATACAGCTATGTTTTTTTAATTCATTTTGTATGAAAACATTATATACAAAAATATTAGGTATATTAACACTAGCTGACCCAGTGAACGTTGTTTTGCCATAAGAATTAATATTGCTATTAAAAAATAGGGGTTGGTGATAGAAGGGTGAAAAGGGTTGTATGTATTTTTAATGCCACATTATAAAAAAAAATGTTCCAAGAAAAATGTTAGGTGTGGTCAACCCATATCACTTGGGGGTATGAAAAATATATAGTAGCTGATTCTTAGATCTACTGAATATGCATAGCTTTCATAAAAATCAGTCAATCCGTTTCGGAGGAGTATGGTAACTAACATTGTGACTTTTTATATAAGATAAAATTTAACAAAAATTATAGGATACGAGGCATGACATCTTAGTCTTTTGGAATGGCAACGCATGTGCTGTATCAGGGTTATATGATGTCCTGATGACCCTGGTGCTGTCCATGTATAAAGACGACCACTTACCATCAATTTGTTGTTTACCATTAATTTTTATTTCAGGCACCCTGTGACGCTACAATATCCGAAAACACATTATACTCCGGTATGGTGTACGGACTTATATACATCTCCTTAACTCTAATATCCGCTCAACTTGCCACCTACCGTCGGACGGTACTGGTGGTCACCCTTGTGGTAGCAGTCGTCTGTTGTATTCTGGTGAACGCTGTGAATCAACCAATAGTCAATATGATAGCGTTCATTCTGCTGCAGGACACTGTTGTGGGTTTAGGAGGGGTTATGGGGTATTTTGTGGATCTATACCCGACTTCCTACAGGTATGTCAAATCAAATCAAATCAAATCATATCTTTATTCATGTAGGTATATTACTCTTATGATATGTCAAATCTACCGTCAGTTCGGAATGCTTTCGAGATGAGAAGAACTGACAAGAAACTCAGCTCGTATTCTTTTCAAATAAATGTTGTACATGTTTACAATAATACAGATTCATTTTTAAATTCCAATTTGACAGAATACAGTGACCACCAGCATATGCTATAGCAGTTTTGTCAATAACAAATAGTTTAATCAGTGTTCGTAACTCGTGCAGACCAGTTCGCACAAGCAGCATCCGTTCATGAGTATGAGGGATGAGTCAGCTATTATTGCACTCAACCATATTAAAGGGAACACATTGACCCGGCCCACCACGCTGTATGTTTTATAGTACAGCTAGAATATGACTTGTTAACGGGACTTCGCCTGCTTTTTAAAGATAACCTACATTCGTTACAATCTATATTGTACAATCTATATTGGGATGTACCTGACACAGGCATTTCCATGCTTACTAGGTCATCCCAACACTATGGTATTGTAACTGAATTTTTTTTAAAGAAATAAACTTTTTTCTTTTATATTTATGTTAAATTAGCTGTGCACGCGATTTCACTCGCGTGAAATTTATAGTCAATGTAATATTTACAACAGATCTGATTTAAGTTGATATCAAAAATAATCATTATTAAATTTTGTCATGTTTTCTGTGGTACCACATATGATAATGGTAGCGAAATTAAACAAAATAATATAAATTCAATCATTATTAAAAATTATTCATATGTGGATGGTTATAAGGGCAGAAAAAGAGATGGATGGACTGTGTGAAAGATGATATGGTAAGAAAGGGAGTAAATAACGGGATGACTGCGAACAGAGATGAATGGAAGAGAAAAACATATTACGACGACCACAAATAAATGGGATAAGGAAGAAGCAGATGAATATGATTAAAAATTATTCATATATATTTTTTTAAATATGAATATGGAATGGTGCATCCGTCTGCGCTAACAGTATACGCTGGCGGGGCACCAGTGGAGGATAAGATGAACATCAGGTCAGGTCAGTTAGCCCATAGTGACAAATTCACCAGGTATTTAACAAAATGGTTTCAGGAACTACGTGGAGGTCAACCTGACATGATACTTTGTCCATATTACTAACAGTAAATAACCGGGGGAAAGGGGTCCCCACAGTTCATAAAACTGTTCCTTTGCTAGCAATAGGCTCAACATTAGTAAAAATTCCCTTCGCTCTAGTTCATATAAGTTATAAGAACCCTATATTTTTCTAGGGGTATGGCGATGAACTTGGCCGTGATGTTTGCAAGGTTAACAGCATTGGGTGGGGTAAATCTGGTTGGCGCGGTCATCGTTGAAAACTGCAGTTTAACGTTTTACCTGTGGTCCTGCTTTGTGTTCAGTAATTATCTAATTTTTATTTGTACCGAGTGCTATTTCGGTATAGCGCCATCTATATGATGCACTATGAAATATTAAGTATTCAATAAGACAGCATTTGATAGTTTACATTGTATTTCACAGATGGCGCTATATTAACAGAATTTTTATAATATTTTTAAACTTAACTGTTATTAATTTGAATAAAACTATTATTTTTTTATAATAATATAAAAGAAATCAACACTGTTCAATTATAATTATAATTATTAATTATTAAAGAATTATGTTCAGATACTTGACAAAATTAGTATTTACTTGTAATTGTAAATAATTTATTTTGTTACAACAGGTGGCGTGGTTGGAGCACTTGTGTTTCTACCTCCAGACAAGCGAACAATAAAATCTTAGATAGCAATGAAATTTTTAATAAAAATAGTTATTTTATTTTTATAATAAATGAATTACAACAATTGTGTCATTATTTTTATTGTTTTTGTAACACAAATACTTTTTATACGCTTTATCTGCGTCACTGGCTGACCCAAATATGTAGGTAAATATACTTATAAAATAAGTACTTGGGTCGGTAAGAGAGTAATATTATGTTATCTGTGGTAAGAGTAAGGAGGGAAAGGGATTGTTAGTAATTGAATAATCTTATCCACGGATCCCCAAGGATGTACTTTGATTAGGGTAGTTAAATAAATTAAACTATGGAAACCTTTCCACAGTGGTTGTTATAGTATTCATATTTTTTTTTTGTCGGACTACTCTAATGCTGTTGGCCGTAGCTGGCCTTTACAGCTTCACCGGACGTTATGGGGCGAGTGCAGATGGCACTCCAAACCCGCGGAAGGACTTATGGAGCGGCTGAAGGCCAACTCCAGCCCGACGGATACCACTTTAGTCCAAGGGCACCACTAGGGCTTCGAACCTCGGCTCAGGCCGTCGTAATTTCGATCCCCGTTTGAATTGGACGGGGGATCGATCGGAGGGGCGCCCGGGGGCGCCGGTGTGGAGCGCCCGGGCGCGCCCAGGCGCCCGGTTGAATCCACGATAATGTGCGTTTGAGGTCGTCGTCTTCGCCGGCGAGGACGGTGTCGTGTGTGTGTGTAAAAGTGTGGTCGGGGTGGAACGGGTGGGCCCGTGGGGAGGTTACCTGCCGTTATGGGGTCGTCGGGGTCAATGAGAACGTGCCTCGGGCGACGTAGTCGAGTATGTCGGATATTACTCCTCGGTGCGTAGTCGACCGCACTGACTATAAGCGGGTTAGGGTGGGATTGGGCAGAGTCGAAGTAGCGTCGAGACGCTTCCTTCATAAAATTCATATTAATAATTATTAAAAGACTATGTGTTCCAAAAAATCTAAATAGCGTGATGTAGAAATAAGTATAAAACTAAACAGCGCCATCTAGTGGCACACTTAGGAACTAAAACAAACGTAATCTCGTTCGATTGTACAGTAATGTGAACTAATTATTCCATTCCTAGCAATTTTCCATGTCAGGGTGACATCCACGAGGAAATCACCGTAAAAAAATTCTGATGTTTTTGTCAAGTCAGGCTAGCTGACCTGACCCATGACTCATGTTCATCATATCATCCGGGTTTATCCATCGGGTGAAACCGCGGGTAGGGCATACTAGCCGCTTATGAACGTAAAATTTTGTACATTATAATTTTAATTCTTTCCTTACCGTTCAGTTCAGTATGGATCCAATTTAGAAGAATTGGCAAGAAACTCAATTTCATACTTTTTTTTTTAAAAGCCAGTTTATTTACAACGTATATAGGTGTCTATGTTGCCATGCACGCTCGTCATTCAAGTAATCGTTTAGTGAGTAAAAGGCTTTGCTCAGTAAATATGATTTGACAGATGTTTTGAATTTATTTAACGGTAATTATTCTTTTAGTTTTAATTTGATTTCTTTTACTTAGTTTTAGTTCTAGTAGATTTTGTTTACTCATTTGCGAAACCCTATTTTTGTCCTTCAGTAAATTAGCAAGAACAAAAGCTGTAATTATAGGATAAATCATTTCGGTAATGGTATAGATAAGGTAGCAGTTAGGCTGTACGCATGTTGAGAGACAGGCGATGTTTCAACGACATCGCAAACCAAAACAGATTTTGAAGGACTTAGTGCAAAACAAACCAAAACAGAGCTTGACGGTGGTTTAGTGGGTTATCACATCCCCTTATGGTCCAATGGTCGCGGGTTCAATTCCTTGCACGGTACAAATATTTGTAAGAGTGTAACTGTTTTTTGTTGCTTTGTACTAGATGGCGCTGTGTGAATTATTTATTTATATACACACTATCATCACAGGTATATGCCCAATACTACAGTGCATCTAATATTACAACACTACCTTGGTACCAATTGGCCTCTAACATTATTTGTAAAAACAACAATATATTTTTTATACTGTCTGCGCTAATGGTAAAATAACTATGATGGTTTCCAGAGAGGACCGCGTGGAGGTCGACCTGACATGGTATATTGCTAGCAGGAGCTACTATTCTTATTACTAACAATCCTCTACCCAGATCTATTCCATCATAATCATAATAATGTCGGGTGGCCCCGGGCAATTCAAGGATGATTTTTTTTTATACCACTTAGGTGGCAAGCAAGCATACGGTCCATCTGATGGTAAACGGTTACCGTAGCCTATGGACGCCTGAAACACCAGGGGTGTCACATACGCGTTGCCGACCCTTAAGAAACCTTAATATACCCTTCTTGAAACCCTTGCTTATGATATCACCGGGGCAACTAAGGGAATAAAATGAATCTGTATTATTATAAACATGTATAACATTTATTTGAAAAGAATACGAGCTGAGTTTCTTGTCAGTTCTTCTCATTTCGAAATCATTCAGAACTGACGGTAGATTTGACATATCATAAGAGTCTGTAATAGACCTACATGAATAAAGATATTTTGAATTTGAAATTATTCAGCTAAATCTGCGTCCTAGCATACGATTAGCCTTATTTGGGTCAAATTGTATAATATCTCATTTGGTACTCTTATCAAAGGAATGTTTGTCAACTGTCATATTATTAAGACTTTCACAGCCGTGTAATGATGACACGATGATTATATGTATTTATGTATACTGATTACTACTAAACTCTAGACAACCAGTAGTACTCCAACAGGCTTCAAGATATGTTTATGTGATCATATATTACGTGATGTTTAATTAATTGATATATCATTATTATTAATTAATGAAAACTTCATTATTTCATTAATTAATAGTTCATTATTTATGATAATTAATGAAATCGTATTCTCATATGTAAATATTAAACAAAATGGTGGCGAAATTAAATAAAGTGGCATTTGAAGATGCGTTGACTATGACGGGTAAATATTTTGTAAAGTTTTATTTTAATCATTATATAGTATAAAACAAAGTCGCGGTCGCTGTCTGTCCGTCCCTATGTTGTATGCTTAAATCTTTCAAACTACACAACGGATTTTGAAGCGAGAGATTTTTTTTAATAGATAGAGCGATTCAAGGGGAAGGTTTATATATATAATACATGTACACACGTGCGAAGCCGGGGCGAGTAGCTAGTACACAATAATAATAATCTCAGGACAATTTACACAGTGCCTTCTAGTCCTAAGTTAAGATAGCAAAAGCTTGTGTTACGGGTACAAGATAATTGATGCAAACATCGATTTTTTTTTCGTAAATACATACATATGATGCATAGAAAACACCCAGACTGATACAAACAACAATACTCATGAAAATAAATGTTTGTGCCATGCGAGGAATCGAACCCGCGCCTATTGTACGTAAGGCGGTGTTCTAAACCACTAGACCGCCGAGACCGTCGATATAATCTATATTTCCTCTAAGTAATTTCAACTTTTGAATAGTGATATATTTTTTTAATCTACCACTCATTCAGAACGCAGTCTCATCAGAAGAATAAGAAATTTGAATGTTTAAATAAACATGTATCCAAAATAATTATAAACTAATTACAAAATCTTCTAGCAAAGGTGAGTGACAGCACTTTACAAAATTACAAAATCTTCTGCGAGAGTACCTTTTCCCCCCTTCCGATCGTCCAATTCAAACGGGAATCGATATTACGACAGCCTGAGCCGAGGTTCGACCCCTAGTGGTGTCCTCAGACTAAAGTTGTATCCGTCAGGCGGGAGTTGGCCTTCAGCCGCTCAATAAGTCCTTCCGCGAGTTTGGAGTGTCATCTACACTCGCCCCCTACCGTCCGGTGAAGCTGTAAAGGCCAGATGCGGCCAACAACATTAGAGTAGTCCGAAAAAATACCTTATGTCTTTTTTCTGCTATTAGCTTTTGTAACATATGTTTCGGTTCGAAGTATAACAGCTATAAAATATTTTTTTTATATTTGAGTTGTCTTTTTTTAGGTAATAATAATAACCAACAACTTATCTCTGCAACTCATGGTTGACTGGTAGAAAATGCCATTAGGTGTTAATCCGCCATATGTACTCGTTTACTTATGTATGACATGCATAAAGTTATTTAAATAAATAATATACTTAATAATAATTAATTTATCTTTATTCCTATCCATTAATATTTACAGAATTTTTTGAATAGTAAATCTTATTAATACATATTATAAATGTGAAAGTTTGTGAGTATGGTCCATCCACCTTCAACCACCACTTATGGTCCACCTTCAACCATCACTTATGGTCCACCTTCGACCACCACTTATGGTCCACCTTCGACCATCGGAAGTAAAGTGGCGTGTTAAACCGCTAGACTACCAAGGCCGTCAAATATATGACATATATAGGCGACGGTTACCACTTACCATCAGGTGGGTGGTCAGCTCATTTACCTGACAATCTAATTCCAGGGTTCAGCAAGTTCAACTACTACGTGTTCCTACTATGCAGTAGTATCATCATGGGGATGAGTTTCGAGGTGTACTCTGTGTCATATCTGGTGCCGGCCAGCGTTTGCGAGCTGGACACCAGCAGCTCGCAGCAGGGGCTCATGGCAGCCACTCCGCTTATAGGTAGGATTTTTTTTTAATTTAGGATAACCAACTATTATTATATTAGCTGCCTTTACATGACACATTCATTCAGGAGCGCGCGCGATTTAGCGCATGAAAGACAGCGCGCGCAAAGGTGAGTGACAGCATTTTACAATGTTTTTTGTCTCTCTATAGCGCGTGATAGTTAAGAACACCAACCATTGTTACATTAGCTGCCTTTACACGACACATTCATTCACGCGCGATCAGAAGCGCGCACAGTTTAGCGCGGGAAAAGCTAACTATTTATAGTGTTCACTCTTTCGCGGTATAAATAACTTAATGCACATGAGATTTAATTTTATTAATGGAAATAAATAAATTTTATTAATAAAGGTAGCCTAAGTTACTTTCTATAATATTAGCTACGTGCGATTGAAAATCTCGGCAAAATCGGAACAGCCGTTTCAGAGATTACCAAGACCTATTTGTAACCAAGATTTTTTTATTAACTACCTGCAATATATGGTTAAAATAAGGTAGTTTATATAATTGTCACTGTGTAGGTAGTTGTAACTTGTAATATAAATATAATATACTATAAATATAAAAATTATATTTGCACCGTCTACAATTTTTCTCTGCACAATCTGTGGTTGACTGGTAGAAAATCCCATAAGGCGTTAAGTCCGCCATATGAACTTTTACCTTGGTATTTTGTGCATTGAAGTTATATAAATAAATAAAAATAAATAAATAACTATTGTATGATGATCAACCGTTTGTCAGCTAATAAACGTGTTCCGAACAAGAGGTGTTTCAACTATTACACTACCATATAGGTACATGTACTTTCATAACCGTGAACCTGTGAATTTGAAATTTCAAATAGGCACTTCACTTTTATTTATCTATATACGAGTATATATATATAACTCAAAGGTGATTGACTGACTGTCATAGTGATCTATCAACGCAGCGCCCACTGGACGGATCGGGCTGAAATTTCGCATGCAGGTAGATGTTATGACGTAGGCATCCGTAAAGAAAGGATTTTGATTAATTCTACCCCTAGGGGATAAAATAGGGGATGAAATTTGTATGAAACTTTGTCAATTTTAAACCGATCGGGCTGAGACTTTGCATGCATAAAACTACTATGACGTAGACATCCCCTGAGAAAGGACTTTGAAAAATTCCACCCCTAAGGGGATAAATTAACGCGAGCGAAGCCGCGGGCAAAAGCTAGATATTAATATACATCTACATTTGACTTTGCCAGTCATTCTGTGAAGTTCAAAGAACAGTCCATGACGTCAGCAGCACGGTAGCCAAAATTAACCGTCATGGTACTTAGTTCACAAGACAAATATGTTTTTAAACATTACGCTTTTAATAGATAATAATAGACATTGTTTTATTTAGATTTTACGTTCGTATGTCAAGACTAAAAATAAGGTGACACGTAGGAAAACGTTAAAATTGAACAAATATTTTAATTAAGCGTAATACAAACCAATTCTGCTAGGAAGTCAAGAGGGACTATATGTTCACTTAAATTATTTATTTCTGTACTAGCTGTGCCCGCGGTTACTACGCGTTAATTTTCAATAAAAAATATAGCCTATATGTTATTCTGATGTTATAAGTTATGTCTAAGTTGTGTTACTGTAAAGTTACATCAAAATGAGCAAAAAAATACGTTCAACTTAAAATTTTTATAATTACAATATAATTATTTTCTGTTAGTGATATTAATTTGTATGGCAAAAAGAGGTGTGCTGGGTCAGCTAGTAATTAAAAAAAAATGTTAGACATAGACACTTTTATAAATATACATTGTAAATTTTACAAAAAATTCTTCAATTGAGTTTCTTGCCAGTTCTTCTCAATTGGATCTATATACTGAACTGGACCGTAGGGAAAAATTGTAATATAAAAAATATGACGTTCATAAGCGGCTAAAATGTCCTACATGAATAAATGATTTTTGAATTTGAATTTAAATTTGAAAAAGGTGCATAATGTGTAGACTTCTTTCATGTCTGGTTTTTGTTTGGTTTCAGGTATTATAGCTACTTCTCATATATGGGGCTATTTAGCAGACACTCGAGGAAGAAAGAAAGTTTTATGTACCTCCATGTTTCTCGGCTTCATCACAGGAGCGTTGGCAGCTCTCTCACCCAACTGGATTGTCTTCAGCGTCCTCAAATTGTGTTCTTCAAGTGCGTGAGTGTCGATTTTGATACTCATCATTATTATTATTTTTTTTATTTAACTTAATTTAATTATTTCTATTTATTTATAATGCTTTATTGCACCAATATTAAAAGTATATACAATGAATAATATAACAATAGATTAAAGAAATAAGAAGTTACAAAAGGCTGTCTTATTGCTAACGCAATCTCTTCCAGGCAACCTTATGAAAGAGAGTATTGCTAAAAATAAAATAGGCAGCACGTGAGTGGAAATAAATTAACACAAAATTGTAAATTCTCATCCACAATACTGGAAGAAATGCGGTGAATTGAATCAGGGGCAACCAGAACAAGGATTATGAATACATTATATCAATCTCAATACCACAAAGATATTTACAGGAGAAATGTATTTAACATGTCTGTCTCTCTTTATAATCATATGCCAGACAATATAAAATTGTTGAACGAGCGAGTTTTTAAAGTAAATTTAACGAAATGGCACATCATAGATATCTATAGATACAAACTGTTATACTCATCGATCCAAATGTTTGTACCATGCGAGGAATCGAATCCGCGACCATCGGTAGTAAAGCGCTAGACCACCAAAGCCATCAAAGCAGATAGCCGGCCTGATGCTAAGCATCAGCCATCGTCTATATAAGATAATATAAGTATAGGAGTACTTCAACAGTACCACAAAATAAGTTAATTCATCCATAACATAAAATCAAATATTTCCGCTTATGATATTAATTTATATAAATTAAAATATAAATATTAATAATCTTTGTTTTACTGCTCGCAAGGAAACTTACAGTATGAAAAAAATACATTTAAAGTAACAAGTTATTCCTTGTGAGAGTCTGGAGTCTGGAGTAGGTCGAAACCTACACTACAGAACTCCAGGCTCTCTCCGGGGCCTTACTGTGCTATGTAATACATCCAAAAAAATATTAATAAATGTATTTGTGAGGTGAAGATGTACAATGTATATAATATCTTTATCTAATACTAGCTGTGCCCGCGACATCGTCTGCGTGGTACAGTGACCACGACTAAATGAAGAAAATATATTTAGTTAGATTAAAACCCAAAAAAAGTTTCATTGTTCACTTACAAAAATGACGATAATTTTATACAATCTTCCATCCTTACAATCCTTTTTTCGCACTAAAAAGTAATCTATATCCTTTCTCAGGGTCTAGACCAGAGGTTCTCAAACATTTTTGTGTCGTAGACCCCTTGCTATATTTTTCAGTTTTGGGTAGACCCCCCCATTCTTACCAGGTATTGATTTTTTGTAAATTTCTAACTGTAGTAAAGTTTAGTGTTAAAAAGTAAAAACATCAAGATGACCGCTGTCGTAGACCCCTTGTAGTTTGTCATAGACCCCTGGGGGTCGATATAGACCACTTTAGGAACCACTGGTCTAGACTATCTGTGTACCAAATATCTTTTTAATATAGGTTTTATTTTATGTAATATTGATATTTTCAGGGTGTCCGGTTGTTTTGCACTCTCTATATCACTGTTAAGTGAATGTACTCCGGTGAAAAGAAGAAATACTCTAATTCTGCTCACCAGTAGTGTTTTTATGTCCTGCACAGGGATTATGGCAGGTAATTCAAAATCGATTAAATTCAAAATATCTTTATTCATGTAGGTCTATTACAGACACTTATCAAAATCTAACGTCAGTTCGGAATGATTTCGAGCTGAGAACTGACGAGAAACTCGGCTCGTATTCTTTTCAAATTAATGTTGTATATGTATACAATACAAATTCATTTTTAAATTCAAATTTAGGAGAGTAGAGTGACCACCAGCATATGCTGTTGCAAACTCGAAAACGCGAACACACCAGTCCTCTCAAGTAATAATATTTATTGGTGGTTCAAGAATTGTCATATGTCGAGTTCTAATATCTTAATACATAATGTGCCTATATATGTATATTTTGCAATGGTTGCTGGGCTATATACATATGTATATACCAGCAGACCCGGCCACGCGTTGCTGTGGCTAAGGTTCTTGAATAAAATAATATTGCGACTATAAATTGAGATGTAAGCTATCCTATCTTTCAAGTTGGATCAAATTGCACACAATATGCAAATCAAATTTACAATCTGTTCAGTAGTTTAAGAGTCCATCGCGGACAATCAACGTGACACGTAATTTTTATATATAAAGATATATTTTATATTATTATTATTTACAAAAAAATCTAAGTATTTATATCAGTTGTCTTAACATAAGTTCTGCTTACCGTGGGACTAGATGGCGCTGTGTTAATTGTCCAGGGTTATTTTTTGTTACAGTGGTAGCGATTCCTGTGTTGCGATTAGACTTCTCCTACCATTTACCATTCCTGGACATCCAGTTCAACTCGTGGCGTCTCCTCAACTTGATCTACACCATACCATGTGCGATCAGCTCCATCGGACTACTGTTTGCATATGAAAGCCCCAAGTATTTGCTCAGTGTCGGCGATCAGGCAAATGCAATGAAGATTTTAAGAGAAATATTCGCCATAAACAATGCTAAGGATGGAGATTTGTATCCGGTTAGTCATTTTTACGTTTTTGTTCTTTACCGTTTTTAGTCTATTATTAAAAACGTTTACCGTTTTTATCGGTTATATTATCACACTCTTATTTTGCCAATTAAAATACATATACATGTATCTACTTCTTTATTGTTCTTTATTGGAACTAATTTCATGCGGTCCTTACATTTTATAATACTACCTACCCGCCCGGATTCGCACGGCGTGCATTTACTATACATATAACCTTCGTCTTGAATCAGTCTGTCTATTCCTAAAAACTGCATTAAAATCCGTTGCGTAGTTTAAAAGATCTAAGTAAACAAACGGCGAAAGCGACTTATTTTATACTATGTAAAGATTCAGAAACTTCTGTATATAATGTCTCATCATTATAATTGTGAATAAGTTTACATTTTCAGGTAAATTCAGTGGTTCTTGAGGAAGACCAAGCAGCGAATATCGAAGGTTTTTGGGCGTCGATAAAAGCGCAAACTGTTCCGTTGCTGAGACCACCCCTGCTGTTCAACACTTTAATACTGGCTGCTATGTTCGTGACAGTTTATTTGAGGTTAGCAAAAGTTAGTTACGACATTGAGGTTTCAGTGGGCTTGCACAAGGTGGCGCTATTTAAAAAAAAGTGACTTGATTATGTAATACATTAAATTACTGATATCAAAACTAAACGACAGCTTTACAGTTTCCTAATATGCTACCTTAGGAAAGTTACACAAAAACATAATATAGTGACAATCTGAAGAAAATAACAGCAATAAAAGAAAGATATAAAAGAAGAATAACTTATAAAATTACGTATTATTTAAGTAATCCACTGCCATTCTGAAAATTCAACATGAAAATATGTCTAGATCTGGAAATCGATTGAAGACACGGTCGAGTAGACTCAGCATATATTAACAAGTATATTATACTAATAATAATCTTTATTAAATTCAGAAGGATCGTTACAATATTATTTATACAATAGGTACACATTCCAGACAATATCAATCCTTTCAGTATCTATGTGTAGTCCTGGCTTCTGAACTAGCATTAGCCGTATGACAGAAGCCAGTTCCTTCCCAATACATGTACTTTTATTATAGAAGGATGAAAATTATTATAACATGATATATATAAATAATATTTTATCAAAAGATACTGTACGATATATTATATTATATTTTTATACTACGATGGTGGCAAACAAGTATAAGGCCCATCTGATGGTAAATGGTTACCGTAGCCTATGGACGCCTGAAACACCAAGGGTATTACGTACGCTTTGCCGACGCTTAAGAAACCTTAATATACCCTTCTTAAAAAACCCCATGCTGTAGTCTCGTGAGAAAACCTCGGCAGGTAGTTCATTTCACACTGTAAGCGTACGAGGGAGGAAGCTCCTCTGAAACCGCACTGTCCGAAACCGCGTAGGTTCCAGCGTGTGGGGATGACTTCCCTGTCGATGGCGAGCGGTGCGATGGTAAAAGGTAGCCGTAGGCATGGGAAAAGATGGGAAATATTTTTTTATTTTGTTTATTCTAATTTTCTATTATTCTTCTTACCCTACTCAAAGCAAGAGTTTGTATTACATTTGAGAGTTTATTGTTTTCAGCATCAATCCATTCATCGTCTGGATGCCGTTCCTGGTAGATAATTTCATGAAGTCTATACAAGGCGGGGCTGATGGCTTGAGTTTTTGTGAGATGATGAGGGCGGCACAAAACGACACTGAGACTCATGTTAGTTATAGAGAGATATTTGTTTTTATTATATTACTAGCTGTATCCGCGATTTCGTCGGCGTGGAATTTAACAAAAAAGTTAATTAGAGGTTTGTTCTAAAATATAGCCTAAGTTATTCCTTATTACATAAGCTACCTGCCAATAAAAGTCCCGTCAAAATCGGTCCAGCCATTTCAGACATTAGCCGGAACATACAGATAGACAGATAGAAAAAAATTGTAAAACATGTTATTTTGGTGTATGTACCGTATTTATATTCATATGCATGTAGTAAAAAACGGTTATTTCAATATTACAAACAGACACTCCAATTTTACTTATATGTATAGATTTTAAAACGTATATATGTAGCACTACATAATAGATTTATAATATTTTGTCTAATTCCGCTACAATTAGCAATACAATAAACATATGATTTTCTTTTTTAAATTATTAACCTTGCTGCTAACTTGACTTGAGTCAGCTCGTGACCACGGCTAGTGCAACCTAGTCGAAACGTCGAGAGAGGTAAATACCTTTATTTGCCATATAATAACACGCGAAAGTTTAAAAGTAACTATATGATTTTCTATTCTGTTCTATTCTAATAGTCTTTACTACTTATTAGAGTCTCTTAATGGATAGGTAATCCACAGAGTTTAATCATAACGCTTCCAGTAGCGGTGTAATTGTAGCGGAATTAAACAAAATAATATATATATTTCATTGAGTAATGAAATTGACTTCCGCAAATCAACACATATTTCGATAAAATATCTTCAATTTAATTATTGCAGGTAATTGAGACTTGTGCATTGAACAACACAGCAATGATACTAGTCTTCGCTACCGGCATGGTTCTGGCTGTAATCAGCGTGTTCATGAGCATGCTTATCAATTGTCTGGGAAGAAAGAATCTTCTAATTGGATTACAGGTATGTCATTGTTATATAACTTTTAGGAATGATCCGTCATACTCGTGAACGTGTGCTACTTGTGGGGACTGGTCTGTTTGGGTTACGAACACTGATTAGACTATTTGCTTTTGCAATAGCATATGATGGTGGTCACTCTATTCTCCCAAATTTGAATTTAAAAATGAATCTGTATTATTGTAACATTTATTTGAAAAGACTACGAGCTGAGTTTCTTGTCAATTCTTCTCATCTCGAAATCATTCCGAACTGACGTTAGATTTGACATATCATGAGATTCTGTAATAAACCTACATGAATAATGATATTTTGAATTTGAATTTGTATTTATGAATGCAATAGTCTGAACTATACTGAAGGCATCTTGCCTGATCGATACGACTTTAGTCTGATGACACGAGGTTCGAACCTCGGCTCAGGCCGTCATAAATACGATCCTCTTTTGACTTGGACAGGGAATCGATCGGAAATGGTACTCCGTGTGGTTTTGTAGTGGGTAAGAATCCTCAAAAATCTTAGTCTTTGTTACCCCTCTGGGGGACGATCTTTTGAAGATATCTGCACATCATAAAAAAGGGCGTCAATGCAATAGTATAGAATGCTGTGCAATAGCAAGGAATAGAACTTTAGAAAGGCTAAGGTAAAGCATGGCCCAAAAAGTTTAGGATACACTGGGTTACACTATTTACACCAAGACATTTACCATCGGATAGGTTTTTTAGTATGTACTTATTAGATCCGCGAATAAAGAAATTTTTGGCCGTGAATATAGGAATTGGGTCGCATTTTTTTAATTCGCAAATAGTAAAAACGCGAATGAAGGAGTTTTACTGTATTAAAATTTTACTCAGCCGTTTCCTACTTTGCAGGTATTTGCAGGTGTATCAGCACTGTGCCTCAATTTCAGTTACAGCTGGATTCTGAGTGCTATCCTCTTCGTTGGTTTCATCTCTGGGACCCTCAACTTTGGTTTACTGTCTTCGTTCAGCGTTGATCTCTTTCCCACATATGTCAAGTGAGTTTAATTTTACTTTTACGGTTAAATTTAAAAACATGGTTGAACTGTTTTCTGGAATTCTTTGGTTTATTATTGACTAGCTACCCGGCCTAGCTTCACGGTGTACATATATATACATATAAACCTTCCTCTTGGATTACTCTATCTACTCCTAAAACTGCATTAAAATCCGTTGTGTAATTTAAAAGATCTACGCGAACAACCAGTGGAAGTGAGTTCAGTTTATACTATATAAAGAAACTTCCAAAACTTAAAAATATATTTATTTATTTATTTATTCTTTTGCACACAAAATTGTATACATGGCGGACTTAATGCCTGATGGCATTCTCTACCAGTCAACCGACGCGTTGATCAGAGATAGTATTGCGGTGCAATTTTACAAGTTTTAAATAGATTAATACAGAAAAAATATGTATATATGTATATATAAACGTACAAATATACTTCTAAAATTATATAATTACATAAATAAAGCTAAATATATATTTATACACACAAAGTTTTTTTTAAATGTAAATAAATCTAAATTAAAAATTATTTATAATTGCGTATATAATATATATCAAAAATCACTCACGCAAGTAATGTTTTTTGTATTTTTCCCCAAAACTTATCTTAATTAAATTATAAACGCCAAAGTTTTTGCGTGACAGAGTAACAATCATCCATACTCAATGTTTGTTACTCTTTCACGCAATACTACTGAACGGATTTTGTTGAAACTTTACAGTAATATAGCTTATGCATCAGAATAACATATAGGATATATTTTTTATTGAAATTTACTCGGAAAGGGCGAGCACAATAGATCTATGTAGGTCGCAGTGCTACAGGTGCTACACATCTGACAATAGCCCAAAAAACACAATAAAAAAAAAAATACTCGGAAACACGCGTTAAATTCTTAATTTGCCGTGGGCACAGCTATTATAGTTAGTTACAGTTTTATAATATTCATTTAGGTATATGTTTTAAATTTATTATTATTATGATACAGTTTTATCTTTATTATGTTGCAGGGCTATGGGAGTATGTCTTACACTCATGGTGGGGAGAGGTAGTGGCGTGTTTGGCATAAATCTAGTTAAGAACCTACTTGACAGTAACTGTGAAGTCTCTTTCTATATATTTGGAAGTATAGCTTGCCGTAAGTATTTTGTATTATTATATGTTTATTTATATATTCTGTTCTGCTATGAGATAAGCTTATTTAATTAAATTTCGTAATTAGTTCCTTTATACATGCAAAGTATAAAATAATTAAAATCTATGCACAGAAATATATAAGAATTGTAAATAATAAAATATATGTATGTACATATATATGGAATATAATAATAATTGTATATATGTATATTTTATCTAACAAAAGCAAGCCTCAGATGTGAATCAACAAATTATTTTCACCAAATATACTCAAAATGCAATACAATGCAATGAGAAAATTTCTCATTTTATTTCTAGAGCGTTACTTTTCAATAAATAGTCCAATTATAGTTTTTGAAATATCATTACAGAGTATAAAACAAAGTTGCCGTCCCTATGTATGCTTAAATCTTTAAAACTACGCAACGGATTTTGAAGCGGGTTTTTTAATAGATAGAGTGATTCAAGAGGAAGTTTTATATACATAATACATGTACACCCGAGCGAAGCCAGGCCGAGTAGCTAGTATATTATAAATTTGAAAATGTGTAAATATCTATTTACATATATAAAATTCTCGTGTCACAATGTTAGTCACCATACTCCTCTGAAACTGCTGATCGATTTTTATATGTATATTTAGTAGATCTTTAATCGGCAATTATTTATTTTTCATGCTAAGGGTTGTCCACCCTCAAACATTTTTTCGTTTGCGGGGTAAGATAGTAATTACGTATTATCGGATATTTATATTTTTTGACATACTTGTTGGTTGTTTATGTTGTATATGTTATACAAGGTTGGAGGAAGTGATGTGCGGAGCTCCACATATGGGAGTTGCTTTTACGCCTGTTGGCTCTTGCCGTATGATGTTTGCTGGCAGGAAGTGAGCAGGCGTTGGAATTGCGATTTTGTGTGGGTACATGCACATCACACGCCCTTCTCAATATGCGAGTTAACAAGTGCAATTATCTTTCGGTTATTTTGATGGCTTTCCTAATTCTAAATAATCTGTGCTAATATAAAACAGTTGATTATATTTCACATTTAAAACATACTAACACAACTAGTACTGCTCATTATATAGCGATTTTTTTTCTAGTTGGTGGTGTAATCGGCTTCCTGCTCCCATCTGACAAGAAATTGTCTGATCGAAATAAACTAGTATGACAATTCGACAATATATACAATCATACCTACCATAATATTATAAAGTGAGAATTTGTTACGCCTTGGCGGCTAAACCAATCCTCGTAAAACTTTGGCACCTATGAAACAATTGGGATGGCGAAGAAATTAGCTTAATTTTTTCCGGACTTTGAGTCATAGGTTAGTTGTACACAATGGTAGTTAATAAAAATAAAAGCTGAAAGTTAATGATTCAAGAAAGTGACCAAGAAGTCTATCTTCAAGAAAGAATATATAAAAATTGAAAATTTTGTAACGTAACCTTAATATAACACTATGCACTTAATGGATTGATTCTAATTAGTGGTCAAGTTACGACCATATTTAATTAAAATTATAAGTTCATTATTAAGACTCTATTGTCAGACTATACGTCTATAACCACAGCCATTGGCAGTGGCACAGGTAATAAACAAAAGAATGCGTGTGTGTCAAATACATGGATAGGGTCTGTAATAAATTTTTAAATTAATAAATGTATCATTTATGCATAATTTAAAAAAATATATTAGTTTTTGAATCACGTCAATTTTTTAAAATACTTTTATTATTTGGCAAATAGTCTTATCTTACTCGTATCATAACTTTGTGAGTATGGATGGAAGTTTATTACACTTTCACGCAAAAACTACGGAATGGATTTTTATGAAACTTTACGGTAATATAGCTTATACATCAGAATACCATATAGGCTATAATTTAAAAAGATATTATGTAAATTGTGCGAAATATAATAGTAAATGTCAAGTAAGTGTAGACGAAGTTATGCGAGTCAGTCTTGCCTCATGTAATATACCAGTAGTTGTTTAGATAAGATAATTTTTGTTTTATTTGTGATGCTGTATTTTCTTATCTACATTACACATAAATATTGTGTAATATATTGCTTAGAATATTACAATTCATTATTTTACGTAATATATAATCTTTATTTGAAAGGAATTATACAAAAAGTTTTTATTCATTCTGATTAACGTTGATTTATGATGTTTGTATAATTTTATATGTATCTATGTACTTATATCGAAGAATTTTATATTCATACTGTTTAGTTTTATTCTGAAAGTACATAGAGAATTATGTAAAACTAATAAATTAGTCAAACTGAATAATAATAACTCGGTACAATTTACAAAGCGCCATCTAGTCCCGAGCTAACCAGAGCTTGAGTTATGGGTACTAGACGACTATTGTGCACGACGCACCTTTTTAGACTTTTATTATATTTTTTTATATATACTTTAAATATTTTATGCTTTGTTCCATTTTTATTGTCAATTCAAAAATATATGTTTTTATCTACAGTGACCGTAGTTTATCATATGACTAAAAATAAAATATAAAAATACAGTCCTTAAGAAATATCAGTAATTAAAAACGACGACATGCATGTATACAGTTTTTTAATACATACATAATAGAAAAACAATCATTACTCATGTATACAAATGTTTGTACTATACGAGGAATCGAACCCGTAACTTTCGGTAGCAAGGCGGTGTGCTAAACCGTTTGACCTCCGAGGTAACTTATTTAAATACCCATACGAAAGTGATTAGGATTTAAATTTCTACGTTTATACATCGTTTGTGTATGATTTTTAGCTTATATTTATTAATGTTCTTTGTAATAAATAGAATAATTATAATTATAAAGTGGTTTTATTTGCTAATGTTAGCTACCTATATATATAGCACATACATAACAATGTTTTTTTGTATAATATATGTATGTATAATATATGTACGTACACATACATACTTATTGGAAAGGTTTTAACATGTACCGTTTGTTTATTTTTATGGATGATAATGAAATAGTGCGCCTGCGCTAACGGTTTATGCTGGCGGCAGGGCACAAGTGGAGTATGATAGGATGAACATGAGGTCAGCTCAGTAAGTCCATCCTGGTAAATTCACCAGGGATTTTTCACTATGGTTTCCAAATAGAACTGCTTGGAATTCAACCTGATATGGTGTATTGCCAGCAATAGGGTTATTAGTACATAAACTTATATGGCAAAATAAAGTTTGCTGGCTGCTAGTATATATGTACTGTATATAAGCTGCGTTTGCAACTTCGTCCGCGTGTTATAATCTAACCCAGAAAAAATATCGGAAAAGTGAAAGTTTCATCTTTCTAGCTTCAAATATGACGAATTTTCATACAAACTTTCATCCTCTAATATATTATACCACTTTAAGAATAATATTTTTACAAACATTGAATGTCATATTTATTTATGTTCAATCAATACTTCAACTCTCCTTTCAACCCCCTACAATTTTTTTTCGCATTAAAATGTAGTTTATCTCCTTTCTCAAGATCTAGACTATCTGTGTATTATATTTCATTTAAATTGGCTAAGTAATTTTGGCGTGAAAGCCAGACAGAGAGCTGACGGAATTACTACTTAGTTACTATGCAGTTATAATATTAGTAAGGATATATTTGTTTGTTAATATAACGTAACTCCATTGTAGGTAGACGCAATAATTTATAACAGCAAGTGTTTTATATCTACCTTCAATATATTAATAGTATGCCATAATTATTTCACTGAATCTCGTTCATTTCAACCAAAGTTCGGTCGCTGTCCGAGTCTGCGCACATTATGTGAATTGTTTTATAATAATATAATTAAAATATACATTTAATTAATTAATTAATATGTTAACATCAGTATTGCGAGTGTCTGTATATGTGATTATAGTTTTGCCTGTTCTAGAAGTGTATTCGAAAAGTGCAGACAAGAATGTAGGCGTCCATTATAAATCAAATGATAAAGGTAATATATTACTTGTTAATGTATTTTTTTAATGGATGAGTATAGAATAGTGTAACAGTATTAGTTAACAGTATATTTATACTTGGGGAGGATCATAAGATATCGATAAAGATTCTTATGGATGCAAATGAAATGATTCACTAAACACTAAAGAAACTTATTGTAAATTTAGTAATGACATATTGTAATTTAAATAATGTAAATTTAATATTGTAATAGGTGAAAACTGTGATTGGTACATTTTATGCTGTAAATAATATAAATGACGAAGTGGAGTAACTTGAAACAGTCATATTCGCTATAAAGTTCAAACTTGTGGCGGCGTGGTGGGCCGTGTCCATGTGCTCCTTCAAATATGGTTGAGTGCAATTATGGCTGGCTCATCCGTCATACTCGTGAACGGGTGCTGCTTGTGAGGACTGGCCTGTTCAGGTTGCGAACTCTGATTAGATATTTTGTTTTTTTGCAATCGCATATGCCGATGGTCACTCTATTCTCCCAAATTTGAAGTTAAATGAATATGTATTATTGTAAATATGTACATTTATTTAAAAAAAATACGAGCTGATTTTCTTGTCAGTTCTTCTCATTTCGAAATCATACCCAACTGACGGTAGATTTGACATATCATAAGAGTCTATAATAGACTTACATGATTAAAGATATTTTGAAATTTGAATTCGCATTGCGCAAACGGTTGACACTGGCGAGGCACCATTGGAGGATAATAAGGTGAGCATGAGGTAAGGTCACTTAGCCCAAGGTGGTAAATTCACCATGAATTTATCACGACGGTTTTCAGGGGGAACCACGTGGAAGTCAACCTGATGTGGTACATTGCTAGCAATGGGGTTATTAGTCTGTCCGTGTGTGTTGAGAATAGTAATTCGCCGGAGGCTATGTGAGAAAAAAAACGGACCATCTGATGGAAACTGGTCTATTGGATTTTTTATTGCCATTGGGTATATATACCATTATACTTCAGTCTCACTAAAAAAACAGTCTATAATTGTATAATAGGTTGTCGTTTATGTTTTTTTAATGTGAAGTCTCCATTTGTGTTTTTTATTTCAATATTTTTTCTTAGCTTTTGCTCTTTTATACCTGATGACCCAGTTTTATAGTCACTCTTGGCATTGAGCATACTCCTTTCCACAACATACACACAACAAGTTGCTAGTCTTTAGGTACGTAGTATAAAGTAAACTAGCTAACGTTGTTATTCACTTAGATCTTATAAACTACGCAACGGACTTCAATGCAGTTTTAGCAATAGAGACAGTGAGTTAAGAAGAAAGTTTATGAAATACATGTATACCCGTGCGAAGAATGGGTGGCTAGTAATAGTAGGAATAAAATATTATACAGGTCATCTCCACAAACAAGATAAACCATGCGACGTGTGTCCTCGGCACGGCAGCTGCGTCCCCAGGGTCCAGTGTCCAGCGCACCTGAGACCCAACTCCTACAACCCTGAGTGTCACCTGGAGAAGACTGATGGGGTGGGAGTGTGCTGTTTTACTGGTAGCAATCATGCAGGTGAGTTTTCTATAGTATACTATATGTCCCGGCAAACGTCATATAATTAATAATTAAATAATTTTGGGTTGTATGTATTTTTTGATGTCACATAATAAAAAAATAGATTATATAAATTTTTGTTGAAAAAATAAAAAACATTTTTGGGGTGAGCCACCCTTAACACTTAGGGGTATAAAAATTAGTTATAAACCTATTCTCAGACCTACTGAATATACATATAAAATTTCATCAAAATCGGTCAAGCCGTTTCGGAGGAGTATAAACACGAAACCTGTGACACGAGAATTTTATATATTAGATTTTGAATAGAATAGAAAATCCTTTATTAAAAAAAAATAAGCACTTGAATAGTCATACTTATTTTTTTTTATCTACCGCTCATTCGGAAAGCAGTCTTATAACAAGAAGAACGAGCAAGAGACTTGCGTGTTGCTCTTTTAAAGAGTTGTTGTAATTTTACATTTTTAAGTTGAAATTTGTGAATACAGCGCTACGATAAGCATTTACCATCAGATGAGCCGTATGCTTCTTTGCTACCATAGTAGTATAAAAAAATAGATAAACTGCCAACCAAATAATGAAATGATATCTACTAGTTACATACTAGCAATATTCTAGTTACATAGGTAACATTGCTATTTCGTTTTATAAGGCGTTAAACTTACTTGCTTACTTTTATTGGCAGTACATGATATGCATGCAATTAAGATAACATTATCTTGTATAATCATTACCATTAGCGGAGTCAGAACTGAAGATCCGTGCAGCCGTGGCAATGAACGCGGAGGATGTGAAGTCAGCCCATCATCAGTCCCGCCAGAAGCTAGAACAGTGGATGAGCAGAGCAGACAAATTATTGGCGCATAGAGATGTGCTGGTCAATGAGACTGCGCCAAGTTTTGCCCACCATTTGGTAATGTATATATTATCTTTGAGACATATTCGACTCAAGCTCTGCGGCGAGATATTGCATCTTTGTGCATTTTCTACCGCATATATCACGGGGAGGGTTCTGAGGAATTGTTCGTATTAATACCAGCTGCTGAGTTTCACCACCGTAACACCCGCCAGAAACTAAAATACCATCCTGATCATCTGGATGAATGGCGGTCTTCCACAGTGGGTTTTCTAGAAGCTTTTTACCACACACAACCACATTGTGGAATCACTTTCCAGCAATGGTATTTCCGAACCAACACGATATTTAACCTTCAAGAAAAGAGCTTGTTTTAAATCAAAGCCTTCTGTATTAATAAAATGTTTATTTATAGAATCTTAAATAACTAACAATATTAATTATAGATATATGAATCATTTGAGCACGTGTGTCTCACTTTTTTAATGACTTTTCTTCGCTCGCTATTTTGACAGTTCACCTGTCATCGCCTTACTTTTCTTTATTTATGGTATGGCCATAGATATATTCAACACGTTGTCTTTTTACAAAAATAAAGAACTATTACGATGCAGCAACAAAACTGAGTAAAATATTCCAACTGAATAGAAGTATTACAAATTTACAATATTAGACAATATAACTTAAAAATAAGCATTTAAACTTTACCCTCTACATAAGGATAACTGATTAAAAGGCTAGCAAACATATTCATTTAGATATGTTGGTTTTCTTGTTTCTCTTTTAGGTCTGCTTGGCTTGTTGTCTGCAGGGGTAGTTGTTTTCTTTATAGGAGAATTGGTCGTTGGTTGAAGAGACGACAATTCATCTTGAGAACTAAAGTAATCTATTGAAGGATCAGCAACTGGTGATGAAAGCACCATAGCTTCTGAAGAAACGATATTTTCGCCAATGTTTTGCACGTCTTCTAAAATGATATTTTCTTGAATATTTGTAGTCATATCAGTGATATCTTGCTTATGGGGTTTATCTAATAAATTTGGTAAAAATGGACGTATGTGTATTAAGTCTCTTCTGTAAGTTGTCCCATTTATATCAACAAGATATGATCGATCTGAAAGAATATCTGCAATTATTCCTGGAGTCCAAGATTTATTTGAAGATGGTTGAATCTGAACTACTACGGGTTGTCCTATTTCTAATGTAGTTGCTTTTTTTGCTTTTTTATCATGAGAGTATTTGATCATTTCCTTGTTACTCTTAATAGTTTCTGCTACATTTTTGATTACATTTGGTTTTAGCAAATCTTTAATAACTGGTAAAAAACCTCTTGTTCTACGTGAAAATAATCTTTGTACAGGACTAGAGTTTATTTTGTTAGGAGTATTTCTTAAGCAATGTAGACTTGACCAGAAATCTTCTCCTCCGCTTTCTGTAGCTTTCAATAGCAGTTTTTTTGCTATTTTTACTGTTGCTTCAGCTTTACCATTTCCTTGAGGGTGATGGGGAGAAGATGTTACTTGTATAAAATTCCATTTTTTACTAAAAGCTGAAAATTCTTGATTGATGAAATTAGTTCCACCGTCCGTAATTACTATTTCTGGCACACCGTGACGTGAAAAATTTCTTTTACAGGCTTCTATTACTGGTTTAGATGATAAATCTTTAAGCTTATCAATTTCAAAAAAATCCGAGTAGTGATCAACCGTTATTAAATATTTTGACTGTTTTCCATTTTCATTGAAGAAGAAAACATCCATAGATATTATTTGGAATGGATATTCAGGTATTTTGTGACTTTGCATAGTAAATTTTTGTTGACTTGGTTGATGTTTTATACATGATGTGCAACCTTTAATTAGGTCCTTAATGTCATTGGACATAGATGGCCAAAAAATTGCATCTCGGGCTAGCTTTAAGGTATTTTCGATTCCTGAATGTGCCTTATGCAGTTTATTTAACATTTTTTCTCTTAAACTTTCAGGTATCACTATAGCCTGGTTTTTTAATATAAGACCGTGGTAAAGAGTTAACTCACTTTTTAAGTTGTAGAATGATTTAATAGCATCGGGAATATCTTTCAAATATTTTGGCCATCCCTGTAATAAATACTTCTTTAGGACTGTCATGTTATGATCGTTCAATGTTGCATTCTCAATTTCTTGAACACAGCTGTCTGATATGGGTAAGTTTTCCAAAGGATTTATTTTTGCTATAATTTTAAATATTTTCATATTTTTTGATTTATCAATATCTTTACAATCTAAATAAAATCGAGATAATGCATCTGCCATAATGTTTTCTTTTCCAGATACAAATTGCAGTTCTAGACTATATCTTTGTAACATTAAAAGCATTGATTGAAGTCTTTTTGGAGCATGAAGAAGAGACTTTTTGAAAATGTTTAATAATGGTTTATGATCTGTCTTAATAATTGTTTTTTTGTTGCCAATAACTAACTGATCAAACCTTGTGCAGGCGAAAACCACTGCGAGGAGTTCCTTTTCAATTTGTGCATATTTCCTTTCAGTGGGTGTCAAGCATCGTGATGCATATGCAACTGGTTGATTTTGCTGGAACAATGCCACACCCAGAGCTCCTTCACTGGAATCACATTCAATGACAAGTGGTTCATTTTTGTTATAATATTTCAATGTTTTTAAGTTACATATTATAGACTTCAGTTTGTCAAACTCTTTTTGGGCTTTTTTATGCCATATCCAAATTGTTTTTTCATCTGTCAAGTGTCTTAGATATAATGATTCACCACTCAGATTAGGGATAAATCTACTAAGATATGTCACAACACCCAGAAACCTTTGTAACTCTTTTTTGTTTTTTGGTATTGGTATGTTTGTGATTGATTCAATTTTAGATGGATCTGGTTGAAGACCTTTATTAGTGAATATATGACCATAATATTTTACAGATGTCTGAAGAAGTTTGGTTTTAGCTTTGTTTAGTTTACAATTGAATTTAACTAATCTGTCAAATAACTGTTTCAAGTTTTTATTATGATCTATGATAGCTTCAGCCATTGTATCTCCAACTCCATACACAAGCAAGTCATCTACTAGCGCTTCTACTCCATTTAATCCTTGAATCATTTCACTCATTTTTATTTGAAAATGATCTGGTGCTGAAGCAATACCAAAGGGGAGAACCTTCCAACGGTACTTACCGAAGGGAGTCCAGAATGTAGTAAGCCTGCTGCTTTTTTCAGATAGCTTTAAATGCCAAAATCCCTTTTTAATGTCTAAGGTAGAGAACACTTTAGCTTTTCCTAGTTCTGGTAATATTTCTTCAATTGTAGTGAACTGATAATTAGGTCTTTGTATAGCCCTATTCAATGGAATGGGATCTAGGCATATTCTAAAATTGTCTTTCTTTTTAATGATTAAAATATTGCTTACCCACTCTGTGTGATTATCTTCTTTAGTGATTACCCCCTCCTCCTCTAATCTTCTCAATTCCTCCTTCAACATTGGTCGCAGTGCTATAGGGACACGTCGAGCCTTCTGAATTACTGGTGGTACTGCATGATCAATTTCTAGATCAATTTCACCTGAAAAACTCCCTCTGCCTTCAAATAGTGATCCATATGTATTTAATATTTTGTTTGTTTCTTCTATGTCATGGGAGTGACTTATAACTTCTTTGCAAAATTTTACAATGCCCATGTGGATGCAAGCCTTACATGACAATAGAGGAATATGATTATCTTCTACAACTTGGAATGTTAGAGAGTAATTGTTTTTATTAGTTTGTGTTTTTAGCATAATATCTATTTCCCCATGCACAGTAATATGGTGTCCACCAAAACTGAACAGATGTTTCTTAGTTGGTCGTATCTTTTGTTTAACATAGTCTTTGCCAAACATTTGTTGGGCATTTTGAAGACCAATAAGACACTCATCAGCAGCTGTATCCAGGAGGCATTCTGTTGTTTTCCATTTATTATTGACTAAATAATTTAGTACACATTTTGCTGCACTTTTATGTGTATTATTTGTAATTTTATTAATAATATACTCAATATCTGTATCCGAATCAGTCAGATCACTGATATCATTGTCAGTCACATTCTTCACCATCTTTATTGATTTCTTTTTTTTGCACACTTTATCCAAATGGTTTCTGCCCTTACAATTTTCACATTGTTTGCCCCAGGCTGGGCATAATTCCTTTTTATATATATGAATATTTCCACAAAATTTACATTTGCCTTTTTTAATCTTTTTTTCTTCTACTTTTTTAATTTCTGAAGTAGATGACACAGACAGATCTTTCATTTGTCTATCAGTGGCTTCAGCTGCACGGCATAAGTTTATAGTTTCTTTTAATGTTAAGTTATCTCTCTTTAACAATTCTTTTTTTAATGATATGTCTCTTAATCCTAAAACAATTTTATCTCTTAACATTTCCTCTTTAAATATTTTATAGTCGCAATCTTCGATTAATTTTAATAAATCTGCATGGAATACTTCAAAATTTTCATACTGCATTTGTTCTCTGCTTAAAAATATATATCTATTGTATATGATGTTTTTTTTAGGTACCATTTTTGAGCTTATGCTATGTAGTATATCTTCAGCCGTTTTTGTTTGTTTGTCTATGTCTGTAATTCCGAAATTACCATATTTTTTTAAAGCTTCCTCACCTATGGCACTAAATAATATACTAACTTTTCTTGGTTCTTGGTCGGCCGACCATTCCTCCATTTGTGTAGCGCGACAATAGTTTTTCCATGACGAATAAAAAGTTTTGAATGCATCTTCAGGATCTATATTTGTTTTTATTGGTGATGGCCATGGTACATTTATATTTTGCGCCGGTCCCGGTTGCGGATTTTGTATGAGTCTTGCGATTTGTTCCTGCATAGACCTCAAGAGCACAGTTTGTTGTTCAACTATATTTGCTAGAGATGTGTCCATTGTGCTCAAATTTCCGCTGCCACCATGTTTTAAATCAAAGCCTTCTGTATTAATAAAATGTTTATTTATAGAATCTTAAATAACTAACAATATTAATTATAGATATATGAATCATTTGAGCACGTGTGTCTCACTTTTTTAATGACTTTTCTTCGCTCGCTATTTTGACAGTTCACCTGTCATCGCCTTACTTTTCTTTATTTATGGTATGGCCATAGATATATTCAACAGAGCTTATTCTTTTTAAAAGGCCGACAACGTACTTGCAATTCCCCTGGTGTTGCGGGTGCTAATGGGCGGCGGTAATCACTTACCATCAGGTAAGCCGCGTGCTCGTTTGTCCCTTGTGTTTTAAAAGAAATGTATGTTTATTTGCCGATTAATTTTGCCATAGACATGACTGGCCGTATGCTTGTTTACCACCATCGTAGTATAAAATAAATAGACTTTGTAAAAAGTGTGCTTGGGTAGATAATAATAATAATCTCTGGACAATTCACACAGCGCCGCCCAAGTTAAGGTTGCTAAAGCTTGTGTTATGGGCACTAGACAACTGATACAAATACTTAGATATATTTTTGTTCGTAAATACATACATATTATATACAGAAAACACCCAGAGCGATATAAAAAATCATATTCACTAATACAAATGTTTGTGCCGTGCCAGGAATCGAATTGAGTAAGGCCGATGCTAAATCACCGAGGCTATTAAATAGATAAATAAATTCTTTATACGCCAATTAAACATTCTAATATTTTTCTATACCATAATCTATATATATGTAAATAAAATTGGAGTGTCAGTTTGTAATATTCAAATAATCGTTTTTTACTACATGCATATGAATATAAATACGGTACATACACCAAAATAACATTTTTTACCATTTTTGTCTGTCTATCTGTCTGTTTGATTGTTCCAGCTAATCTCTGAAATAGATGGACTGATTTTGACGGGACTTTTATTGGCAGGTGGATGTAGAGGAATAAGGAGTAACTTAGCCTACTTTTATTTTAGAAAAATTGTATATTGAAAAGATTACTGAAATAGTACTTCAATAATGTTTGTATGTTCAATTGTTACACAGTCAGTCATGACGTCAGATGAGCGAGCTGAGAAGTTGGGCCTCGGCGGGCTGCTCAATCTGTTCGCTGCGCAGGAGTTGAAGTCGCGACAGGCGATATCTGACGACCAACTGTCTCTGGGACTCACTGAGCATACGGATGGTGAGATAACACGAGGATATCTGTATTGGTTTTACTATTATTCATTTATATTTATATACTTACTACAGTGTGAAACTGTTTGTATCCCAAATAAAAATAATGTATTAAATAACTAGCTGTGCCTGCGACTTCGTTCGCGTGGACTAGACGACAAGTGACGATTATTCATATAAACTTTCATACCCTATTTTATTTTACTGTCTATTTTTAAAAATTTTTAATTTCATACGTATTTATACTTAAGCAACAGCCTATAAAGTAAGATTTTAGATTGTAGGTATAAAAATGATGATAGTTCCATACAGCAATTACCTTGCATTCCTCATAACCGTTTTTTGGAATTAAAATGTAGCCTATGTTCTTTCTCAGGGTCTAGACTATTTGTGTACCAAATTTCATTTAAATCGGCTCAGTAGTTTTGGAGTGAAAGGGTGACAGATAAATTTTGTAAGACCAATACTGTAATATAACCCAAAGCAATGACTGTAAATTTTTTTGTCTGTTTGTCTGTACGTTTGAGCACGCTAATCTCAGACCAAATCGTTTAACGCGTTTAAACAATTTGGATGCTGTTTTTACTGATTATAAGTTTTTCTTTTAATTTTGTGTATATTTTACTCCAATTGATTTACAAAAAACTTTAAACTATTGTAATTCCGAGTAGATATAAATAATATGAATACATATATTTAATATATACAATGTTATGACAAATAAACATATAAAATATATTTAGAAAACATTCATATAAATATAAACAATCAATTACCCACAACATGGAAATCTATTTCACGACCTTCTCAAATAATAAATACTCACATATTATCACTAGCTTTTGCCCGCGGTTTGGCTCGCATTAATTTATCCCCTTAGGGGTGGAATTTATCAAAATCCTTTCTATAGGGATGTCTACGTCATAGTAGCTTTAGGCATGCAAAGTCTCAGCCCCATCGGTTTAAAATTGACAAAGTTTCATACAAACTTTCATCTCCTATTTTATCCCCTTGGGCGTAGAAATAATCAAAATCCTTTCATGTACATTATTACGTCATAACATCTACCTGCATGCCAATTTTCAGCTCAATCCGTCCAGTGGTTTGGGCTGTGCGTTGATAGATCACTATGCCAGTCAGTCACCTTTGAGTTATATATATTTAGTATATTTAGATTAATTTATTCTCAAAAGGACCGTTCTGTCCACCACCAATGTCCTGCCCTACGCCTGCTAGCCGATACAGAAGTATTGGTGGTGAATGTAACAACGCCGTCCATACTAACTGGGGAGCCATACATTCTGGTTACGAGAGACTGCTGCCACCTGACTACAGTGATGGTAAGTTAATATCTCTTTTTGTTGAGTTATGGTAAATGTAACAACGCCGTCTATCCTAACTAGGGAGCCATACACTCTGGTTACGGGAGACTGCTGCCACCTGACTATAGTGATGGTAAGTTTATCTCTTTTTGTTAAGTGATGGTAAATGTAACAACGCCGTCCATCCTGTCTGGGTAGCCATCCACTGTGGTTACGAGAGACTCTGCCACCTGACTACAGTGATGGTAAGTTCAATATCTCTTTTTGTTGAGTTATGGTAAATGTAACAACGCCGTCCATCCTAACTGGGGAACCATCAACTCTGGTTACTCTGGTTACAGAATATTATGAGTGTACATTGTTTTAGGTACTTGGGCAATGCGGGTCTCCACAATTGGTCAACCGCTCCCGAGCGCGCGTACTGTCAGTGCAGCCCTAATATTAGACGCCAGTCATCCTAGTCACACACACAACCTCATATTCATGCAGTTTGGGCAGTTCATTGCCCATGATACCACAGCGGGCGTCATCTTCACTATTGGTGAGTAATTGGATACTTCCATTATTATTGTCAGTTATAGAATAGAATTCATTTATTTCAACACACCACAACGCAATAATGAAGACGTTTACAGCAAACAAATAAAGAAATGACTAGTAAATGTACATTTCACAATAAACAACAGTTACAACCACATATTAGATCAGATTAGAACAAACTAAAATGCGCAGGTTGTCTATAGAGAGCATCGTTCACCGCCGCGCCGCTGTGAATGCTATTATGGGTCTCTTATACAGACGCCATATCTGTGTAATAGGACCTATCACAATATTATGTCGTGCTGTGTGTACTATATTAACGGCATAATTTTGAACATTTAGTGAACCACGAAAAAGAAAAAGAGTATTATCTTTTTACTAATTATAGGTATAAATAATGACCGTGTCAATTTTAAAACGCATTATAATTTTACCCAGGTAATGGCAGCGCCATATCATGCTGCTCCGGCGATGGCGAGGCCTTCTTGCCTACAGAACTTCAGCACTGGGCTTGTGCTCCCATCACTGCTGATCCTGCCGATGATTTCTATGGTCAATTTCGTCATCAATGTCTGAACTTCGTTAGGACTCAATTGGCCCCGGCAAGCGACTGTTCCGTTGGTTATGCAAAGCAGGTTTGATTTTTGAAATGTCTTTTCTGCTTAAATTTTCTCACAACTTTTCGATTTCTCAATTTGGGGTTCTTCAAAATTGCGTTTTCTAAATTCAGTAACTCTTATTTGTCCCGCGTCCCCGCGTAAAATTTCATTTTTAATAACAAAATTTTATGTGATGATCATCCAAGAAAGTTGGGGTTCTGGATTATATAATATTTTACACGACTTTGTAACCACTCTAACCTCCGACCCCTTGTTATGCTTTCAGATGAATGGTGCAACTCACTTCCCTGATTTGTCTCACCTGTATGGGAGCTCTGAGGATAAGTTCAGACTACTACGGGCTCCCGGTGGATTAATGAACACATTCAATGATTACGGAAGGGAACTGCCTCCTCTCACAGAAAGAAAGGAATGTCTCTCGTCTAAAGAGGGTGCTGCTTGTTTTGAATCAGGTAATTTTTAGTTGTATCCTCTACAATACATCTGCACTACAGTAGAGTGCAGTACTACGTGCCTTTAGAGAGACCTATGTCTGGACATAGGTCTCTTCAAAGGACGCCATTGGGCACGATCTTTAGCCTTTGTAATCCGCGATCTTTAGTATGTTGTCGCTCCAACTCGCTTAGCTGTGGGGCGTCCTATGCTACGTTTATATTTAAGTTGTATATGTTATATAAAATCCGGTGCTTATATGACGGCATCGGTGGTCTAGCGATTTAGCATACCGCTTTACTACCGAGGGTCTCAGGTTTGTCTCCTCGATTACGATTTCCTGTTGAATCGGTCTGTTTGTTTTTTATGTATTTACAAAAAAAAATACATCCAATTATTTATATCAGTTATCTAGTACCCATAACATAAGCTCTGCTTAGTTTGGGATTAAATTATTACTTTAGTAGTCTCAGCTTAACACGCACAATGGCCTGTATTCAAGGTAAAATGCGGAAAACGGAGTTGTTTTTGCAAATTTTGAACTAATTCTATAAAAATTAAATTAATGTTCTTTTCTAATTCCATAGGAGACAGCCATGGCAACCAAATAATCTCATTAACGGTCTTTCATGCATTATGGACGAGAGAACACAATCGGGTGGCGCGAGCTCTCGGAAGACTCAACCCAAACTGGAGTGAAGACGTCATATTTCTGGAGGCAAGGCGTATACTGCAAGCCGAGTATCAGCATATCATTTACAATGAATACTTACCTTTGCTTCTAGGTGAATTTTTCTATCTAATTGACATGACAAACAAACTGATGAAAAGTGTTGACTGTCGCTTATATACATGAACTAGCTTTTGGCTTCGCTCGCCTTTATTTATCCCCTTAGGGGTGGAATTTATCAAAATCCTTTCTTAAGGGATGCCTACATCATAGTAGATTTATGCATGCAAAGTCTCAGCCCGATCGGATTAAAATTAACAAAGTTTCATATGAACTTTCATCCCCTATTTTAACCTCTTGGGGGTAGAATTAATCAAAATACTTTCTTAGCGCATTCCAAATTTCAGCCTGATCTGTCCAGTGGTTTGGGCTCTGCGTTCATAGATCACTATGTCAGTCAGTCCCTTTTGAGTTATATATATTTAGATAGCACCGTCATGTATTGTGACGCCGGTAGTCACATGATAACCGTTCATGTACATAGACGACGGTTACCGTTTACCATCAGGTGGACCGTCAGCTGGTATGCCGTTCTAATTATATATGAAAATAAAGTTTTAATCAGTCCCCAACAATTTCATTTTTTCAATTTCTGGTCAGTTCTTTTGTCAAACTACATTCCAAACTGCCGATGTTTAAGTGACTTTTTTTTACTACGATGGTGTCAAGTATACCGTTCTTTTGAGGGTATACGGTGACTGTAGCCTATGGACCTGAAATACTAAGGGTCATGTGCGCTTTACAGACCCTTAAGAAACTTTAATATACCCTTCCTGAAAACGCCATGCTGTATTCTCGCTAGAAAACCTTGGCAGGTAGTTCATTCCACAATCTAAGTGTACGCGGGAGGAAGCTCTTCTGAAACTGCACTGTTCGAGACCAGTTGAGTTCTAGTGGGGATGAATTCCCTGGCAATGGCGAGCAGTGCAATGATAAATGGAAAAAAGTTTTGATTTATGTATGTCATTTTCAGGACCTGAGCTGGTTCAAGTATTTCGTCTGTCACCATCTTTGGGATATGCCTCGTGTTACGACCCCAACGTGAATCCATCTCTCACTGCAGAGTTTGCGACCGCTGCTATGAGATTCGGACATTCCGTTGTAGACAATAATATTATGTAAGTTTATCGAGTAGAAGAAACTTGCGTGTTGCTTTTTCAATAAATGTTAGGAACATACACATTAATAAGGAAGAGGCATGTGGTAATCAACGTAGAAATCGTCTCATAAAATAATAAAACTTATTCTATGTGCAATCAGATAATCATGTCAGCACTATGATTTTCAAGTTGGGTTTTATGTATATATATACTAGCTGATCTCGCAAACGGTGTTTTGCCATATAAATTAAAATCGTTTATAAAAAAAATAGGGATTGGTGATAGAAGGGTAAAAATTTAGGGTTGTATGTATTTTTTAATGTCACATAAATTGTAATGGGAGGGGACGCCCTAAGAAAAGATGGATGGATTGTGTGAAAGATGATATGAATAAAAGAAGAGTATGTTCAGATATGACGACCGATAGAGAGCAGTGGAAGAGAATGACATAATGCGCCGACCACAAATAATGGGATAAAGGCAAGGCAATGATAATAACATAAAAAAATGAAAATTTTATACAAATTAAAAAAAAAATGTTAGGGGGGACAACCCTTATCACTTAGGGGTATGAAAATAGATAGTAGCCGATTCTCAGAACCTACTGAATATGCATATAAAATTTCATAACAATCGATCAAGTCGTTTCTGAGGAGTATGGTAACTAACATTGTGACACGAGAATTTTAAATCTATACATATAAATAAAATTGGAGTGTCTGTTTGTAATATTGAAGTAATTGTTTATTACTACATGTATATGAACATAAACACGGTACATATACCAAAATAACATTATTAAAATTATTTCCTGTCTGTCAGTCTTACTGTTTATTCCGGCTTATCTCTGAAATGGCTGAACCGATTTTGGCGGGACTTTTTTTGGCAGGTAGCAGATGTAAAAAGGAGTAGCTTAGGCTACTTTTATTTTAGAAAAATAAAGTTAAATTCCACGCGGACGATGTCACGAGTACAGCTAATATAAAATTTATTATAGTTATATAATAGTTATTTCTTTTTCCATTCAAATAAAGACATTCACTATCGTTTATTTGAAAAAAGCTGACGAAGTTGCGGGTAAAACTAGTTTTATGTACATTGTATCGAAGAAATGTGGTTAAACATTAGTCACATTGTCGATTGGCATTTAAATGATTTCCTCGTATTGCGCCGGCGCCAATGGTTTCACTGCAAGTAACGTGTGATTAGAAAACTAGCTAATTACGTATTACCAGGATTAATAGATTCGAAAGGGACCTCTTAATATTACTAGACGATTCCCGCACGACTACTCGAGCTGAAAGTTTTTGAATAGAATAGAAAATCCTTTATTCAAATTAACTTAATATAAGCACTTTTGAGTAGTCATAGGGATGACCCTATGACTACTCAAAAGTGCTATAAGCGGTAGATTAAAAAATTATTTCATAGTTATTTTTTAAATCCTTTATTCAAATTAACTTAATATAAGCACTTTTGTGCTAAAAAGTGCTATAAGCGGTAGATTAAAAAATAACTATGAAGTAATTTTCTAATCTACCGCTTATTCGGAAAGCTGTCTCATTACAAGAAGAACGATAATGAAACTTACGTGATGATCTTTCAAATAAATAACCCGGGACAATTACCACAGCGCCATCTAGTCCTACGGTATGCAGAGCCTGTGTTATGGGCACTAGACAACTGATATAAATACTTATTTCTCTCTTACTCGCAGGCCTGTATTGTAGAGACTGGAGTGACTTATTATTCTGTCCATTTTACATGTTTACCCTTTGTATTAATGGCTATTTGAAAAATGGAACTTGTGTGTAAAATGTAGGGAATAAATTTGTGTAAAGTTTGTGGATGTACATATAATCGAAGTATGTATATTGTTTATTTATTAAATCTTTTATGCACAAATACACAATATAGATGCATATGGCGGCTTTAACACAATGAGGTATTTTCTCCCAGTCAACCATTGGGCAAACAGAGATCTATGTGGAAAGTGCATTAAAAAAAAATATTGTGCAGATATATTCAATAGTTTCAGTAAAATTTCAAAAATGCCATGTAAATTTCTAGGATACCAAACTCGAAGACTGGGGCTGTTTACGAAACTATATTCATACCAGAGGTGATGTTCCAGCCGGCCAGGATGAGGCTCAAGCAGTTCCTAGACCGGTTACTGATCGGCCTCACTTGGCAGCCGATGCAGTCTGTCGATCCATTTGTCACTGAAGGGGTAAGTTTTTTAGATCAGATTACCTATTGAATATTTTTTCTTGTAACACGCGGACGAAGTCGCGGACACAGCTTTACATAGTATAAAACAAATCGCTGTCGTTGTCTGTCCGTCCCTATGTATGCTTAAATCTTTAAAACTACACAATGGATTTTGAAGAGGTTTTTTTAATAGTAAGAGTTATTCTAAAGAATGGTTTATATATATAACACATATTGTACACCCGTGCGAAGCCGGGGTGAGTAATATAATTGTAATTAAGATGGAAGTCCTATTGCTATTAATAATAGTAATAACCTAGTACAATTAGCACAGCGCCATCTAGTCCAAAACTAATCTAAGCATTTATTATAAATACATAATTGATGAAAATACTCAAATGCCATTCCAATGCAAAATCCGTTGTAAATACATACATAATACACATAAAAACCCAGATCTATCCGCACATTCATAATACTAAATCCTAATGTTTGAATTTGTAACGTGCAAGAATCGAACCCGCGAGCTAATAAATAATCTTCACAGTTTAAAGACTATAATAGAAAATCTTATATATATATATATAGAAAATCTAAGAATTGTGTATTGAATACCGAGAGTTAGGTATTGAATATCAAGTGTTGACTATTGAATATTTACAAATGTGTATTGAATATGTTATGTATTGTTCCTTTAGTTAACACGATACCTGTTCCATGGGGGAAATCCGTTCGGTTTGGACTTAGCATCCATCAATATCCAACGAGGTCGAGATTACGGCATTCGATCTTACAACGAGTACAGGAGACTTTGTGGTCTGGAGCCGTATGTGGACTTCAAGCAGTTCTCACCCAGTGTAAGTATATAATATTATATGTATGTTATCGACAGATGTACCTACAACATAATTTCAATTTAATATATTGGATCCATGTTCAGTACCTCTGCATTATATGTTTCTACCGCGAAAGGTCTTGCTATGTACTACAGATGTCCCGGCATTTGATTATTTTTGACTAGACATTATTTTATTAGATGATGTAATGCCTCTATCGAGGCATCCTTAATACTTAAGCATTGTAATTGACAATATGAAAAAGTACTCGGCCGATATCTTTTAAAAAATCAGGACCAAGCTGGTTTCAATCTATAAGAACATAGGCTATATTCCAAGCGGGTAGTTCCTATACAGTTAGTAATACATCCCTGTAGAGTGGATTCTTATCAATATAGACTCGAAGCCCAAATGCTAGCAATGTGTCATGTCAGGCCAACTTCCATGCAGTTACTGGAAACCGTCGCGGTTGATTCCAGGTGCATGTTGATTCCAGTGAATTAATATGCACCTTTTCTCATCTCGAAATCTTAAACAAAACTGACAACTGAAAACTGACGTTAGACTGAACATATGTATTATAAGAGTCTGTAATAGAGCGATTATGAATAAAGATATTTTGAATTTGAAATCTTTCACTAGTGTTATTCACCCGTTAGTGCAGATGCGTGGACCATTCACAGTACCAAAAAAGTGAAATATTTTTTTTGCCATAGGCTGCGCAAAGGCTTTCGTCTGTATATTCAAATCCTGAAGATATAGATCTTTGGGTGGGCGGACTTCTGGAAGGAGAAGTGGATGGGGGCGTGGTAGGTCCTACTTTCGCCTACATTTTGGCTGATCAATTCAACAGAATCAAGAGAGGCGATAAGTATTTTTATGAGAATGGACCTGATGTAAACCCGGGGGCATTTACACCAAGTAAGTTAATAGTATTACTATTTTTTATAGCATATGGGACAAACGAACTTGCGTATCACCTGATGATAAATAATATCGCGGCGGTACAGCTCATGAATATCTGCAATAATAGGGAAATTGCAATTGAGTTGCCGGTATTTCAAGAAGGATTATTCTCTTTTCTTTACGGTTTCAATATCAAATCGATTCGAAAATATCATTGCTGGAAGGTGATTCCACAATGTGGTTGTGCGTGGCAAAAAGTTTCGAGTAAACCGCACTGTGGAGGACCGCCATTTATCCAAATGATTAGAATGGTATTTTACCTTCTGGCGGGGAGTGCGATGGTAAAATTTAGCAGCTGGTATTAATCCAAACAATTCCTCCTTATTCTCCGTGATATAGGTAAAAATGAACTGAGATGCCGTGATATGTCTCGTCGCAAAGCCAATGGGTATGGTTTTTCGAAGTAGTCTAATGCTGTTGGCCGCCGCGGCGCCTATGACTTTTACAACACCACTAAACGATAGATGGCGAATTTCGAAAGGCACTTAAAACCGAGGAAAGGACATTTGGAGCGGCTGAAGGGTAACTCCTACCTGACGCATACGACTTTAGTCTGAGGGTAGCGCTAAGGGTTCGAAATTTAAATAAATATATTACCAATCAACACTAACAAGGATCTTCCCATTGCAGGTCAATTAGCGGAGATTAAAAAGGTGACATTGTCTCGAATAATCTGCGACAACCGAGATGGAATCGAGTTAGTAGCACAACCACCTAACGCTTTCTTAAGAGGCGATCTACCTGGGTATGTATTGGATGAGAGCATATCTAAATTAACATAGTTGGTATCAAACATTATTTCTAACCAAAAGCCTGGTTGCCATTCGAAATATAAAAAATGTTGCGGGGTATATTTGAACGATACATGGCTCTGTTACGTGTGTCTCGTATGAGTTTTGCTTGTTGATTTAATTTCAGATTTTAATGCACGACTTTTAGGATCCACAACTAGATTCTAAACCATAGACAAAGTTCTCACTTAATGTATTTGGGATTTCTTTTTCTATTTTATGAATTGGTTTCCAGGAATGAAGCTGTGCCCTGTGATAGTCCTCTCATCCCAGCTATGGATCTAAGTAGATTTAAGGAAATTTAAACCTTATGTACATTAACTACAAAGTATCAAATATTCTGTGAACAAACGTGTTACTTAATACATAAATGACCAACAATCCACTGAATAGAGAAAGACTTTTAACATCATTTTCATCATATTCATTACTTCATCACAATTGGCCGAAATGGTATGAATTTTATAATTGTTTTTTGAACTGAAATTCAATAATATATCTAGTTCTTAATGTTTATTTCTAATACGGTTTCTTAATTTTCTTTCGAGTATTCTTTTGCGATCGTTTAGTTTATTTTGATTTCAAATGAATTGTAATGATTTCTGCACTTGTTTTTTAATAACATCATCAGCTGTGATTTTATGATCATTATTATAACTGTCTCTGTTGCAAAAGTGTTCTTTATCGGATTTTTAATTGAGTATGATTTTGCATGTATCACCTTTTGCAACATAGTCAAGCTCTGTGATTGTGTTTAATGATTGAGTTGATTGTTTTATGTATATTACTCAAGTCTTTTGACTGTTTCATACTGTCCAATAAATGTAATAAATACATATAAATACTTATATGTTTCATCTAGTTTCACACTGAAGCCCGATCAGTGAGTAACTAGATATTATTTACAAGAGAAATGGTCAAAAGATTTGAGTTTTACATTAATTTCTTATTGCATATCAAGTGCCTATTATTCTTCTTCTTAATTTCCTTGTTATTGGATTTCATTTCAAATTGGTTCAGTATTGGGCCTGATTCAATGATTTTTTCTGATATAAAAAATCCACGAGTCAGGAGTTAATATTGGTAACTGTGATTAAGTTTTGATAATGTATTCTTGGGGTTGAAGATAACAGAAAATGTTTTTTGTCACAGAAATCCGTAATGTTTTAGGTGAATAAAGTTGAATAAAAATATAATATAGCATAAAATAGAATACAACACATAATAGAATACAATATAAAATAGAATACTACACATAATAGAATACGACATAAAATAGAACAGTTGTATAAACAAAATGCAACAGGGTGGCAAAGGCGGTGGTAAGGTAGATTTTTATATGTTTTCATTGAGCACCAGTATTTTATATTTTGATATTTTGTAAATAAGAATGTGCATTTTTTTAAGATATTTGATTTAAAAATCAATTCGTATTATCTTGTACAGGGTGATTATATATTATTATTATATGTTCCTTATTAATAATTGGTATGATTGTAATAATGAATGCAAATGGAGCTCCAGTGCATGTTTTAGAAAATAAGAATGTTCTAGATTTATTGTTAGTAGGATATTTTTGTTCATGATCAATTGTGTCTTAGAAATAATTATGTAATAAATTTTATGAATCAGATTTTGATTTTTATTGAAAAATCTTTATTCAAATAAACTCAATACAAGCACTTTGGAATAGTCATACTTTTTTATTCTACCTTCATTTATAACGCAGACTCAACACAAGAAGAAGGAACAAGAAGCTTACGTGTAGTTCTTTTAAATATTTTTTTTAAATGAATATTTTCACAATAACAAGTAATAGTCACGCATTGTCATAATCAACATAGAAACTGTTATCACTCATTCTTAGTTCAGATAATATTGTCTATGAGTAGTAAGTTTTTTCTAAAAAAAACCTCACGCAATTACCATAAAACGAATTAGTAACTTTAGTTAAACGGCATTTAGGTAAATTTAGTTTGTTATTATAACGTAAGCTTTTATTAGTGTAATTGCTAATTCTTTATGAAGACGACCCGGGATAAAAATCAGTGTTATGCAATTAGCATGAGCTATTTTTTATTGTAATTATAATAATATATTATAATTCAATATGACCAGGAACATGTAAAGATATACCGTTAATCTTCCTAAAATAAATATATTGTTAAGTTATACAGAAACAATATTTCCTGGCGGGCACTGAACGCGCGGTCGAGTGTCATAATACCTGTTGATCACGCGACCAGTGGCGTGGTTGGGTATGAAATTGAAGAATTAATCATATTCAAGTATTTATTACTATGTGCTTATATATACTTATATTTCTGTCAACACTCGACACCTTTTCATTGGTTCACGTGTCAACATAATTTAGATTTAACTTCAGCGTTAAACCAGTCCACTTTTTTTTAACTATTCTTTTTTTATTTGATCCCCCGTTTAATACAAATGGAGATTGATATTAGGACGACCTGAGCCGAGGTTCGAACCCATAGCAGTGTCCTCAGACTAAAATCGTATCCATTTATATTTAATCAACAGTCTAAAAATAAGTTTCAAGCTATTGCCTTTAAAAATGTCTATATCCACATACAACCTTTCACGTCCCCTTTCAACCCAATACAACCCTTTTTCTCATTAAAAAGTAGCTTATGTCCTTTCTCAGGGTGTAAACTAATGTTGTTAAGTATTAAGTAGTTTTGACGCGCCAGAGAGAAATATTTTCGCATTTTTAATATTAGTAAGAGCCATACTTACCTACAGGGAACCCTAAATAACAACCTTTTTGCAGACAAGCTGACAGTGCCAAGAATCATTTAAACCTCGGTTCCAGGAAGGGGTACTGCAATTTAATACGCGAGAAGAAATATCAGTTGCAAATAAAAGTGCATCGGCACAAAAGAATAACCGTTCCGAGAGAAAGTTTTAAATGATTACAAGTGTCGATTTTTTATTACTGTTGTGCACATAAATTTTGCGAGAGACTTATTATTTTTATACGGTTTCTGACAGTCGCAATATGATTTATTACATTATATTAAATTTTTATTATAAGGTTGCTGTGCAAATATATTTAAAATTAAAAAATCATTTATTGATGTAGGATATTTTAGCCGCTTATGAACGTTTTTTTACAATTCATACAGCACCAAGTTTAGTTTATAGTTACTAGAGACTTAGAGATAGTTACTACAGAAAGATAATAAAAATATAAATAATATAAAATATCTCGACCTGGCTCACGAGGTGACCGAAATGTGGGGGGTGATGTCCACCGAAATCATTCCAATCGTTATGTCGGTGAACGGTCTTACGGGGCGGCTCACTCCCATTCACACTCATTTTACGCCGGTTTCTCTCCCTAGGGCCCTGAACCCCGGCCGACTGTGCTTCTGCCGGGGGTATGTTGCCATCTCCTCTCCCTCCTTAAGAGGGGAGATGAGAATTTTTGGAAAAAAAAAATATCTCAGGACAATCCACACACCGCCATCTAGTCCCAAGCTAAGCAGAGCTTGTGTTATGGGTACTAGACAACTGATATAAATACATGGACACATTTTTTTTGGAAATAAATACATATTATACATAGAAAACACCCAGACCGATACAAATAATCATACACATGAATACAAATGTTTGTACCGTGTGAGGAATCGAACCCACGACCATCGGATAGTAAAGCGGTGTACTAAACCACTAGACCACAGAGGCCGTGTTTTGCTATATAAATTTAAAAAAAATAGGTGTTGGTGGTAGAAGGATTAAAATGACTACTATGTATTCTTATCAGTTATCTAGTACCCATAACACAAGCTTTAGCTAGCTTAATTTGAGTCTAGATGGCGCTGTGCAAATTGACCTGAGATTATTATTAAAACTTCTTTATTACAGGGTTCAAAACCTACATTTTGGAAGGATTTTAACAATATTCCAGGAGAATACTAGATAATCTGGCAACACTGGAGGCAGGGTTGACGTGTGAGGTAAGTTTCCACTAGTGTGGGATCGTCCCATCAAGTAGGTGGGGTACCTATGGTATATTGGATGTGGGCGCGGATCACAAACAGGCTATACTGTCGGTTTTTCTTTTACTTTTGTTTCTTTGAATGTTTCTAATGTACAGTTACTTACAAAACTGTTTACTATATACAGCTCGAATAGAACAAGAAAACAAAAATTGGAAAATTTACTTCTGTAGAATAAAACATCTTTTTTTAATGGATGATATTTTATTTAATGTGGGAGTGAATGAATGAATGAATGAATGAATGAATGAAACTCTTTATTGGTCCTCTCACAGAAAATACAATTATGTATAAAATGATAAAAAAATATATATAATACTTTATTGTAGTAGACAAAGAGGTAACAATGGGTGTTGTGTGATGATACTGTGATGTATATTGGAGGATGATATAATAAATAATAATTGCACAGTATATAACAATGTCGCTGCCGCTGTCTGTCCGTCCCTATATATGCTTAAATCTTTAAAACTACGCAAAGGATTTTGAAGCGGTTTTTTAATAGATAGTGATTCTAGAGGAAGGTTTATATGTAAAATACATGTACACCCAAAAAAAATGTAATGACTATTCAAAAGTGCTTCAATGTATAATATGTAAGTTTATTTGAATAAATGATTTTCTATTCTATTCTATTCTTATTCTATTCTATTTGAAGAATATTTTATTTTTAATTTAAAACACTTTTGTTGACAACTGTCTCTATCCACAACAGAGGCGCGCCATTCACGTACGGTTTTTGATTTACGGTCCAAATGTACACGATCCGGCCGCAATACATCGACTTGTATGTACTCTGATACTGTATGCATAAACTTACTTGAGTTACACCAATTTCTTATAGTTATATTTATCTTTAATACAAGCTTCCGTACTCGGGTTTTCCTGCATTTATAGCTCGATTAACAGACTCACTACTTATATGATAACCACAGATAACAGAATATTACATAATGATAACACATATGTGTTATCATTATGTAAGTATAGTATATATAGTAAGAATATTCTTACTATATATACTATACATATACATATACACATACTATACATATTCTTTCACATATTTTTATTCACGCGAGAGTTTGTGAGTTCCATACTCACATTTACACTTACATGTTTGTTACTCTATCACGTAGAAAATACTAAACGGATTTTCATGAAACTTCACAGTGATATAGTTTGTACATTAGAATAACGTATAGTCTATAATTTAAATAGATATTATGCAAATTTGGCGAAATATGTGATGACAAATGACAAGTAAGTGCGCGACAAAGTTGCGTCGGTCAGCAAGTTATCTATAAACTAAAACACTAAGCAAAATCTTTGTATCCCTTCTACAAAAATGGCGCGGATGGAGGGATATGAAATTTCCCACACCTATAGTTTGTATACACCTATAGATGTCATTACAAACATTAAAGTGATTTTGATAAACTTCAACAGTTGCCAAAGTCTGGAAGCCGATGTGTAATAAGCCGGTCAAATCGCTTGAATAGAACAGAAATCATTTATTCAAATAAACTTAATTTAAGCACTTTTGAATAGTCATAACAATTTGTTTTTTATCTATCACTCGTTCGGAAAGCTGTCTCATCACAAGAAGAACGAGCAAGAAACTTGTGTGTTCTTTTAAATAATCCTTGTAAGTTTACATTTACAAGTCGAAACGTGTGAATACAAACTACCAACCAGCAATAATTTTTTTGGGACAAATATAAATATAATCGAAGGTTTCCCAAACAATGTAATAATAATCTGCAAATAGATTACCTAATGCATAGTCGTTATTTTTTTCTATTATTACGCTTACTTCTTCTTAACTATTGTATTCTGACTACCACGAGAGTAAACACGTTATTTTGAGAACTTCTAAATGAAATGAAATCGAAACAAATCTTTCTTTCTTACAATAATAGTACCTAATTAACTTGGGTCTAGATGGCGCTGTGTGAATTGTCCTGGGATTATTATTATAAAGATTTGATTATTTGCACTAGGCTGTAATAAGCTCTGAAACTACTAGACTGATTTGAATTTTTCTACCATTAGAATCCTACCTTATCTTTGATAAATGAGATGTTTTCAAAAACGTTAAGAAACCGTGTGAACTTCTATGTAACCCAGTCAGTCACCTTTGAGTTATTTAGTTATTAGATATTTAGATTGTTTTTTTAATTTGAATTTGAATATATTTCTCATTCATTCGCCATGACTTCAGCCGACTTCATCTTCATCCTAACCACAAAAAATCTATTTCCAGGTGCAGCCACCACGGAAGATCACTGCATTTTTTGCTCGCCCATCTTCTAAAATCCAATACCTACTAATTAACCAAACATTTAAACCTAATTAATTCTAAACGTCTACAAAACAGAGTCTATTTTTTATTAAAATCTAGCAATTGATACATTTGCTTCGCTTCCGAAAGTGGTTTTGTTTTTTCCGTGTGTTTATTGGATAGAAATAAATTAGGAAAATCTTCGGATATTTGTTTTAGTAATTTCGCGATTTCCGCTCTATTAGAAAGTAATACGATATTAACAGCTTTTTCTGTTGTATTTCCCATTACATGATGTATTCAAAAGTGCTTAAAATTAAGTTTATTTCTATTTTATTAAAATTTACATTTTTGTTTTAAATTGACTATAAAATTTTTCGTAATAAATACATTTTACCTACCATCCAGTTCAATATACAGATTCCTTTTTTTTTCGGACTATTCTAATGCTGTTATCGGTAGGTGGACTTTACAGGTTCACCGGACGATAGGTGACGAGTGCAGATGGCACGCCAAACCCTTGGAAGGACTTATGGAGCGGCTGAAGGCCAACTGACGGATACGTTGGCACTTTATCTGAGGGCACCGCTAGGAGTTATAACCTCGGCTCAGGCCATTGTAATTTAGATACCTCAACTGTATTTATTATTAAAGTTAGCTTTTTCGCGTTTAAAGATTTTTTGTTTTTAATAAATAGATGATATGTTTCACTCGTCTGTGCTAACGGTTTACGCTGGCGGGGTACCAGTGAAGTATGATAAGATGAGCATGAGGTCAGCTCACTTAGCCCATCGTGGTAACTTCACCAGGAATTTATCAAGATGGTTTCCAAGGGGAACCGCGTGGAGGTCAACCTAACAATGGGGTCATAAGTCTACATTACTAACAATTAATTTCCTTCCCCCCAACATACAACTTTTATAGGTGTCTATGTATAGCATAAAAAATGCATGTATAATAATAAAAATTAAAGTGAACTGTATATGCATACATTTTAATGTCAAATTAGTTTTAATCTTATATATAAAATTCTCGTGTGACAATTTTCGTTCCCATACTCCTCCGAAATGGCTTGACCGATTCTCATGAAATTTTGTGAGCGTAATGAGTAGGTCTGAGAATCGGCCAACATCTATTTATCATACCCCTAAATGTTAGGGGAAGTCTACCACAATTTTTTTTTTTATTTTAAGGCAAAACAACATTTGCCGGGACAGCTAATTTTAATATGAAAATGAACGTATCAAGTCACGTACCGACCTATTACATTTGACACGACAAAAATAGCCCATTGTTGTAATGTTGCCGCAATTTGCCCGTCAATCCATGCAGAATTTTATTTCGGGGAATTATAATACCTATTTATTAGGTTTTCTATTTGGCATTGCTTCGGTGGTTATAGAGTTACAAATTTCTAGAACGGCCTCCACAAATCCAGAGGGATTTGGATCCTTTGGATTATTTTTTATGAGATTATTTCAAAGAAGCAGTTTATGAGAAAAATATTTCCCATGAAAGAGAGTTACAAGAAATGTTGCTGAAATAGTAAAAAACAATGAACGGGCTTGTAGAAGTTTACGCAGAAACTTTCTAAGAAGGTGTTGATTATGCATAAGGGCAAGAGGAAGACATTTTGATCATATCCTGTAATAAAAAATTAATAAAAGGATTTTACAAAAATCGTATTTTTACTTTACTGAAAATATTCCATGATATCCCATGAATGGAATAAGAAAAATCTTACTCTGTACGTTAGAATTATACCTTCTTAGAATAAGTATGAGATGTAGATATTTTTTAAATTAAGTTTCAAAAGGTTACGTTATTTTTCACCAGCTTTGTTCAAATTTCAGTTAGAAAATATTTAAACGTAAATTTGCATCTAGTTTATGTACTAATTTTATTATTGTTGTTCAATATACTTGAATATCATTTTAATTAGGAAGGCTTATGTATTCTTAAAACTAGACAGCTAAAATGGCGCTGGGTTGGCCACACATCACGTGGAGAGAATAAATGGAGCAAGGTTATAACTACTTAATACCCAAGATAAGGACATAGACCAAATAGAAGATGGAAGGATGAAATAGTTAGAACAGCAGGGTAGCTATGGACCAGGATCACACAAGACAGAACAGAATGGAAAAGATTATAGAAGGCTTAAGATGCTTGGAAGCAAGCAGATGGCCTAGAACTAGATATAGTATACAAAGCAAGAAAAAAACTTTAAATAAAAAATCAGAATAAAGGGCTATAATAAAATATGTATTCTTAACTACCTTGAACAAAATACAACAATAAAATAAAAAAAAACAAATATGGTAAAATTTAATATTTATCTTACATGGATGATATTTTCACCACATTTTTAAAACAAAGCATAACTTAATAACTACAAGACCTAAGACTATAAATTTTAGTATTTTTGTTAGATAATATATAAGGTCTCACTACCCCCCGTAACCCGTTGGTCCACTACTTACGGGACAAAAGTAACAATTAAATCCTTAAGCAATGGTAAATAAGAACGCTTAACATATAATTGTATGCCGCGCCAATAGTGGTGAAATGACACCATTACAAGTATCACGTGTTTCGCAGGAAGTGAAAGCTCATTGCAATTAACTTGACAGGTTGGCTGAGCTGATCTATAGATCGGGTTAATGATTGTTAGGCTTTCTAGGGTTAAACTTTTCTAAATACGCATTCGTATCTTCACGCCAGTACACTAATAGGATAGACAGACTGGAAGAAGTACTATTATTACAAATAGAAAGTGTTTCTATCTGTCAGTTATGTTTGTTACCTTTTCAGAAATGTTTAAATGACCTAATAAATGGAATTAATATAGTTTGTATCATGAGGCCAACCTCATATATTATACTAGCTACTGGCCCCGGCTTCGCCCGGGTGTACATGTATTATAAAAACTTTCCTTCCCTTAAACCTTCCTCTAGAATCACTCTATCTATTAAAAAAACCGTTTCAAAATCCGTTGCGTAGTTTTAAGGATTTAAGCAATCGTAGGGACGGACAGACAGCGACAGCGACTTTGTTTTAGACTATGTTGTTGTCATCACAACAACAACAACAACAACAAAATATACAGGTCCTCTATTACATTGGAAATTTAGTTACTTGGTTTATATGAATTAGTACGTTTATATAAATCTATATATTATGTTATCTGTGGTTATACCATGTGTTTGGGTATCGGTATTACCATCGCCGAACAGTCAGTCTGAAATATAAATTGACCCACTTAGTGTAGGTGAGGCCAAATTCAAACATACGTCTATAAATCGACTACCAAGCCATTTTACAATAAAAAATAAATACATTTAAACATTAAAAAAATATATATATAGACTTGAACAGACTGACAACCATTCCTATTTAGCAGTAGTATGAGTATTACATGTGTACTTAAGAATTATGGGGATACATAAAACATGGGTGCCGCCTCTATGCGTACTAAGCGCTGTGGTTGACAATGCCACGGCCATTCCGGGCAGTGCGCCTCTGACATCGTGGCGCGCGGTCAGCGACATCAACCCTGGTTGGCGGGAATTTTAAAATTCGAACTTCGAACGCGAATTCCATGGTGTAGTGAATATTAAAAATAAAACTAGTGATTGAAAAAATGGTTTGTAAAGTGACACCAAGGATTAGCTCTCGTAAGTTTATATTCTTTTTATTTTATTTTTGTTTTTTAATTTATTAATTTCTAGTGTGATATCTTTTTTAAAATAATTTAATATTAATTAATTAAATAGATGTCTAATTTTACATAATATTATTTTATTTTTGTAACATAATAGGTACGTTCTTTATTACGATATTTTCAATATTTGAATACAAAATTAAAAACTATTTGGTGTAAATTTGTTAAAACGTAGTAGTTACCAGTTTAGTGCATTCCAAACATAAATTATGGCGGGAAAATATAATATAGCACCTCTATACATAACTATATTTTTTTACTGAGTATATGGATTCATGCAGATTATTTTTAAAGACATCAGCTATATTCATTTATTATATCAAAGATTTTAAACTATTATTAAGTTTAATGTAAAACGTAAATACCGAATAACTGTAAAATTTTCACTTTTTTAAATTAAAGTATTTTTAAGTAGTTTCGGAAATTCAAGATAGGATTTCTTTTAAAAGTTTACTTGTTTATTTATTTCAACTAGACACTAACTATATGTATAACAGCTTTTTCTTTCTCTATCTCTGGAGATTAGTATTAGAATTAGTTTTAATGAATAGTTATAATTAAATACATTTATAATATAGATAGAAAACACCCAGAGCTACCCAAACAATCATACTTATGAATACAAATTTTTGTACCGGGCGAGGAATCGAAATTGCGACCATTGGAATTAAAGCGATGTGCTGAACAACTAGACTACCGCGGTTATCACATTACATTTTTTTAAATGGATAATAATGGAATGGTGCACCTTTCTACGTTAACGGTTTACACTGACGGGGCACCAGTGGAGGATCATAAGATGAACATGAGTTCAGGTCAGTTAGTCTATCGTGACAAATTCACTAGGAAATTATCACGATGGTTTTCAGTGGGCTCCGCGTGGAGATCAACCTGCAATGGGGTCATTGATCTCCACGCGGAGCTGGACTGATGGACTGATGACCATCAGTCCACATTAATACCAACCCTTTTCCCTTGTTATATTAGATTATCAGCTACTCGCCCTGGATTCGCACGGGTGTACATATATTCTACATACCTTCCTCTTGAATCACTCTATCTATTAAAAAAACCGCTTCAAAATCCATTGCGTAGTTTTAAAGATTTAAGCATACACAGGGACGGACAGACGGCGACAGCGACTTTGTTTTATACTATGTAGTGATGACATAGCGAAACTTCGACTTGTCAAGTATTACGTTCTGATCTATGTCCACTCTGTCCACCTCATCTTGGATTATAGTCGTGAAGATTGTATCATTTATTAGTATTATAGTTCTAATACAAGTGCATATAACAAACAAGCAATATATGTAATTTAAAAACAATGTTAAAACACTACAATCATTAGAAAGATAATTATTCCTATTGAGTTGGACAAAGACAACTGTGATTCACTGTCATAGTTAAATTTAAAACAAATTTTGAGAACAATTAACTGGAAATAACAAGGTTATTTATTAAAGTGTGAACTGAAATTATCGTAATTTTTTTTTAATTATTACATATTGACAACTCACTACTAAATTCTATTCGTATGTTTGATGTTTTGATTTTTATTATAATTATTGCTGTTTCGTTAGTTATATTCATACAAAATCATAACATATTATTATTATAAGTTGTAATATATTACAACTATACTTACTAGCTATACGACCTCGGTGGTCTAGCGGTCTAGCACACCGCTTTACGTCCGATGGTCGCGGGTTCGATTCCTCGCACGGCACATTTGTATGATCATGTTTGTATCGGTCTGGGTGTTTTCTATGTATAATATGTATATATTTACGAAAAAAAATTATCTATGTATATGTATCAGTTATCTAGTACCCGTAACACAAGCTTTAGCTAGCTTAACTTGGGACTAGATGGCGCTGTGTGAATTATCTTGAGATTATTATTATTATTATACTTATTTTATTAATATAAGACAATTGAGGGCCTTGGTGGTCAATGGTTTATCACACCGCTTTACTTCCTATGGTCATCATCACCATAAGCCTACTGCAGTCCACTACTGGAAAACCTGTACCTCTCCCAAGACACGGCATTGGGCACAATTTTCAGCCCATCTCTTCCAGTTATTAACCCTACCTATGTTGTCTCTCCACCCAGCTGCGGGGCGTCCTACACTACGTTTGTCAATTCACGGTTTCCATTCCAGAACACGTCTTCGATAACGAGCATCGGTTCTGCGACAGATATGACCAATTCACTGCCACTTCAACTCACAAATACGAATTCCGATGGTCTCGGGTTCGATTCCTCGCACGGTAGAAATATTTGTATTCATGAGTATCCTTGTTTGTATAGGTCTGGGTGTTTGCTATGATTATATATGTATTTACAAAAAAAAACAGTTGTCTTGTACCCATAACACAAGCTCTGCTTACCGTGGGACTAGATGGCGCTGTGTTAATTGTACAGGGTTATTTATTTATAAGCAAATAGGCATATTAAGAAACAATTACAAAAAAATAATCATTGTAATCCAACGCGGCACATCGAGGCAGCGTACCCAAGATACTGGCAGCGTTGCCTCTTTGAATGGCCATACTTACCCTCTGGGCAAAGTAGCTATCAGCTCTATGGTCACTAGTAACTTCGATGATCCGTTGAAATACTCGTCAAAAATCATTTAGCTTAAATAATTCACATAGCGCCATCTAGTCATAAGCTAAGCAGAATTTGTGTTATCCGTTCTGTTATCAACCCCTATTTTTAATAGCAATATTAATTTATACGTCAAAACAGCATTTGCTGGGAATATATATCGGAGAAAAATATTATTAAAGATCTGATGGAGATATTCAGTGGATTACAGATATACAGCAGTAAATATAATTTACTCTCGTTCCGATCAGTTGCACGTTACATATCAACTGTTACTTATCAACATTACTTAGTTTAAATGTGATGGATTATACTTTTTCTACTTACATCAATGTGCCTAATACGGTCTCTTAATCCATTACATTTAAGACACTCTACATCTCTACATTTAAATACTTTACTCTCTGCTACCAAAATGTTAGGGAGAATATAGGGAAAAATATGTGTGGAAACGTCTGTCTCGTACCTGTATGGTTCTGCGGATTTCTTGGGCTTCAGGGTCTCGAAGATATCTTCGCTAGCTTTCCAGTTTCATAGTAGGTTTCACAGTAGGTTTAACACAGTTCTAATTTATTTTAATTCACAACAAATGCGCGCGCGTCATGGCCGCTGTACGGTCAGTTCAGTACTGTTGGTAAGGGAGGGGAACAGAAACCGCGGGAACACAAACTAACGGACTCTAATATAATAATCTGTGCTTACGATGGTACAGGGTAGATTTTGAACAATATAGATATATTAGAATTGTCATTAAACAAGTAAAAAGCCTGGAAATTGACATCCGGGAAGAAAAGATAGCAAAAAAACTGACATATAGCGTTAAGTGGCCCGGCGGTAAAATTCACTAGTCCCAGAAACCTGCGTAATTACTTTCTTCTTTTTGAACGGGAAAATCCTTGTTTGCCCATACTTTTCCCAGAGGCTTTAGACCTACTGTCCGATATCCAAGGAACTTATTGGTTCTAAATAAAAAAATAATACATTTCATTCTTTATCTTGCAGCCACGCAAAGGAGTGCCAATAATGAATCACAGGACACACAAACACAAGAAGTCGTGGACTATGAAACCGCTTTGGATTTGGCTGGTATGTACATATAACAATTATAACTTCCAATTGGTTTTTTTATACTACGATGTCGGCAAGCAAGCAAGCAACCGTAGTTAAAATGCTGACATTTCACAAAATTTTTCGTATCTGCCTGATTTGAACTGACGATCTCTCTTGTCTATAAACAGGGTTGATAACCACAAGACAATGATACTCATCGATGTATCCATACTATTATTATAAGTTTCTCTGTTCCTGTTAACTTTTCTCGAATAAGGGCTGAAAGGATATGAATAAAATACATTTTTTTTATATAAAGATACTTTTGACCTTTAAACGACAATTAAAACAAAAGCTTTCATTCTTTAATCTATAAAAGAAATTGTCGGACCAATAATAAATTATATATACATAAATATATACATAGAAAACACCCAGACCGATACAAACAATCATATGAATATAAATGTTTGCACAGTCCGAGGAATTGAACCCGCGACCTATGGAAGTAGAGCGGTGTATCAAACCGCTAGACCACCGAGGTCTTCAATTATAGATTAATAATACACATACTTATATCACGAATAGAAATAACTGATGTCGTTTGTGTTATCGATAAAACATCACGTAGTTATTGAGTGATCTAAATACCGTAATTGTAGGACACAGCAGGGATGTTAGGCAGCTCCGCAACCGTAAACGATCGGATATCCGATACAAAAAAATATTCGTAACCGTAACTGAATCCGAAATAAAAGTTTCGGATAATATCGGACAGGGGCGGAGCCTAATTGAGACACGTTATATAACCATTTTATTAGCTATTTGTATTTTACTTAAAAAATTAATATCCGTAACCGAAATTATCCGAAACTAACGGATGATCCTAAATAATTTCATATCTATATATGTATCCGTATCCGGTATAATAATCATTCCTATATCTGAAACGTATCCGTATCCGAACTTTTATATCCATAACATCCCTAGTACACAGTACTGGCTGGAAGGGGTGAGTGGGATGAGTAATGGTTAACAGAAGTCCTGTAAATATTGTGTATGAAACGTCTCATATTATCATGACGATATTATTTAGGCCAGTAGTGGGCAAAATTTTTTAACGGGCCACAAAATTTTAGAAATTCTAGAGGGCCAGAATTATAGAAAAAAATGCGTTTTTCATTTTGTTTTAATAATAATAATAATTTATTTGCTTACCACATGGTAGTTTCTGATCTTTTTAACTAATAAAAGTACATGATATGCACCCCTTACCCCTTATGCAAATATTCAAATTAAATCATATTCAATTTAATATAAAATGATGTCATTACATTACGAATACCCACAAATACATTTAGAATAGAATAGAATAACATTTATTTCATAAAATGTAACTTAAGTAACATTGTAACTATAACCCCATACTAGGCTATGCCTATATCGTGTATATTTAATAATAATAATAATAATAAACTTTATTGGCCAATAAAACACTTTTACATTTAATACACAATAAGGCGAACCACACACTAGACATGTAAGTCTGTATCGTGTGGTTCAGAGGATATCATTACACATAATTGATGCTCGGCTGACTTTAATGAAATAACTTAACAAGATAGATAGATAGATAGATAAAAATCTTTATTCGTATCCCGATAACAAAGATAGTACAAACAAAATTCAAATAACACATAAGAATAGTAAATAATTATAAAAAAAAAAAAAAAAATACAACACATAATACTTTAACTTCCACATAAAATAAAAAACATAAAATAAACATTAATATATATTATATTAGGTGCCACAGGGATACGAAAGGGTTGAGCTACTCAGTGAACAATTTGCTCAGCGAGCAAAACACTGATTTTCAGTAGCAGCCCAGTGGTGGTGCGATCGCGTGCAGCGACATATTCACTCAACAATCTTAATGTTACCAAAATTTAAATTAAACTAATTCTTAATAAAAATAATAGAAGAAAAAAATAATAAAATAAATAAATCAAAATGTATCAATATCAATATCAATTCAAATACAAATAACTGTTGACGCAGACCATTACCTAAGCGACCAAAGGCTTTCAAAAAATAATAATAATATATAAATGCTAGGAATTGTCTAGTAGAAAAAGTTTTATCTTTTTCTTAAATACCTGTTTTGAAGTAATGGCTCTTATAGGTGGAGGGATATTATTCCAGCATTTAGTCGCCTGGTAGCGGAAACTTCCCGTAAAAGCAACAGTTCGGTGAGAATACATTGCTAAAGGAACCCGTGCTGATCTAGGGACGCCGACATAATGACTTTCAAAAGATGAAAATTTTAATTTATTATATAAGTATTCTGGATTTTTAAATGTCATTATATCAAACATCAGTACTGCGAGATGCAACCGCCTTCGTGATTCCATGTTAAGAATTGATGCATTATTTAGAAATGGAGAGACATGAGTACGTGGAGGTATGTCAAAACAGAAGCGGCCACAAGCATTTTGTACGCGTTGCATTATATTCCGAGAATTACATACAAGGCGAGGACCATATACTAGATCACCGTAATTGAACTTAGAGAGAATAAGGGACTCACATAATAATATTCTTACTCTCTCTGTGAGATAATTACGTACTTTATATAATATTTTTAAACGGTAGAAACAGTCTCGGACTACATTTAATACATGACGCTCGAATCGCAACTGGCTATCAAAAATAATACCCAGATTTTTTGCCTCATCAACACGTACAAGATCAGTTCCAAGTATCTTCACGGAGGGACTTCTACTTAGAATGGCTTCTTTCTGGTTTTTTGAGCCAATGACCATGAATTTAGATTTAGATGGGTTAAGGACTAGAGCATTATTAATTGACCAATGAGCAATTCGATCTAGATCTTCATTTAAAGCCTGTACCGCTACGTTAAGCTTATCAGGACGTTCAGAAATGTACAGCTGAACGTCATCTGCATAACAATGGTATTGGCAATTCCTTATTACGTTTGATAGATCAGCGCTGTATAAAATAAACAAAAGCGGACCAAGTATTGATCCCTGTGGAACGCCTCTTTTAACTGATCCAGGATCCGACAATAAATGACACCCATCATCCTTTAAGAGTTTAACAATTTGATAACGATTACTTAAATAACTATGAAACCAATGCACTGTTTGTGACTCAAATCCATAATAAGACATTTTCGAGAGAAGTAAAGGAATATTTAAACTTTCAAATGCACGAGAGAAATCCAGAAGGGTCAGTAATGAGCCTCTTCCTCCATCCTGCTCAATTAATAAATTGTCAGTAACATCCAATAATGCTGTTATAGTACCACGTCCCTTCCGGAAACCCGACTGTAAACTTGGAAGTATGTTGCTCGCTTCAACATATTCAAGTAACTGTTCATTTACGGCTTTTTCTAAGATCTTGGACAAAAACGGTAAAATATTTATAGGTCTGAGATCCTTTAAATCATTTGGTTGGGTAACCTTGGATATGGGTGTAATTAGTGCTATCTTCCATTGATCGGGAACTATGCCTTTTAAAATTGATTCATTAACTATGGCAGTAATAATAGGTAGGGTATGTGGGAGAGTAAACAAAATCATGTCTCGAGTTATACCATCACTGCCTATACAATTAGACTTAACTGTGTTTATGTACCTAAGCACGTCGTTTTCACTTACAGGGCGCAAAATAAATGAATTTGACGTGGACCTAAAATTTTCAAAATATGACAAATTAGATATGGGAACAGAATCAGGACCAGGCACATCTAAAAAGTGGTTATTAATTAAATTAGGGTCCTTAAACTTATTTGATAGGCATTCATTTTTATCTGAATCAGTAATAATTTTCTCTTTTATATTTTTCCAAAATTTTTTACCACTATTAACATTCAAATTAACAAAATGATTGTAATAGGCTCGTTTCTCACTTTCGATACTTTTTGAGACTAATTTCTTCAGTTCTTTGTAATAATTCTTATGCGTTTCAGATCCTGATTTGCGATATTTATTATGAGCTTTATTACGCAGTTGAATCATTAATTTAATCACATCAGTAATCCATGGTAGTGGTGTAGCGTGTTTAAATTTCGTTGTAACCAATGGCGCATGTTGATCAAATAGAGACAACAATAAGAAGTTGAATTTATCTACCATGGAATTAACTGATGACATTTTTGATACTGATTCCCAATTCAGTACTATAAGATCCCTGTTAAATTGATCATTATTTATTTTGTTCATAGGTCTATATGTAACAAAACTTGGCAGTACTTTCGTTTTCTTTAAATTTAAACTAATATTTACCATTGAATGACCCAGGGATCCGGTAATATTGTCCACAGTTACGTCACGAATTTTACAATTAGTACACACAAGATCGATAAGTGTTTCAGAACTCACCGAAGTGTGCGTAGGGTCTTTTACTACCTGTTCCAAATTAAGATACCTCAGAAATTGATCAATTTTCACGAAGCCAATACTAGATTTATCCAGCATATTTACATTGAAATCTCCCAGCAAAACCATGTACTTGAAGTTAGAAAAGTGGGAAACAGATTCAGTTAACGCATCAATGAATGTATCTATTTTCAGCCACTGTGGTCTGTATGCTGTTCCTATGATTATGCGATGACCATTTACTCGTATCGATAGCCACATTTGTTCGATGTTATTTTCGGGATGTTTCAAGAAGCGTACTCGTACATCTCTTTTGAAGTAGAACGCAACACCACCACCTCTACCACCACAAATGTGTCTTGGGCGCGGTTTGTTGCGCAGTCGATAGCCGGGTGCTACTGGCGCACGTGCCTCTTGTCCTTCCGGCAACCACGTTTCATTTATAGCTATTATGTCAGGTTCAAATCGATTCATCGCTATCAGAAAATCATCGTGACCCGTGTTTAGAGATCCAGCATTATAAAGACCTAACTTAAGATATTTTGTTTTAGAATTGAAAGCTAATATAATATAATAAAAATACCAGGCTACATGAATTGATCCCAAGGCTAAATAAAATAATGAATAATATTA